TTCAGGCAAACATGGACTATCGGCAACATGACATATACGAGAATCACCTTTGCCTTTCTTCAAATAGAGTCTACAATGAATGTGTCGAAAGATGAAAAGTGAAATTAAGTCAATAAGAACTGCTTTTACCGTGTTGTTGACGCATGGGCCATAATATTGCCACCAATGGGTTTCTTTTGATCACCATACATTGCTTGACCATCGACTTGAGCAACAACTTGATTAGTAAGAATAACAGCAACGCCAAACTAATCAGAATTGTTATGAGAAATTCAATGGATGATTACAAAAACAAGATATTTGAGGAGAAAACAAACCTCATCAGTTATACGTAATAACATACGCATAAACTTGGCTAATTGCATTTGTCGATTCGCTAATTCACCACGGCCGGAATAATCCGTTCGAAAGAGTGATGTGGCACTATCGACAATTAACACAGCATATCTGCAAAATCAAACGATATCGGTTCGGATATCAATCCGATGAATTATATTTTTCTCTCACCTTGATTCACACATCATAGCTGTAGCCATATACAATAGTTGAATTTGGTGATCTGTGTTATAAGCACGAGCGTACGCAATGTTATCAAGAACATCTTGACCAGAAAGACCGTATCGTTCAGCAATGGCTAATAACCGTTCAGGTCGAAAAGTTCCTTCGGTATCAATATAGATTGCTTTGCCTTCGCCACCACCCATATCGATAGGTAACTAAACAGAGAGAGAGAGAGAGAGTTTGATTGATATATGTACCAAAGCCGAAGAAGGAACTATTTACTTGGCAAGTCACAGCAACCTGATGGCATAGTTGACTTTTGCCACAACGATATTCACCATACAATTCAGTGATTGAACCCGTTTCGAAACCACCTTGTAATTGTTTGTCGAGTTCTTTTGATCCGGTTGTCAACTGAATGATTTCTGATCGTTTCTGATGATATTCAGTAGCTGTTGTAAAGCCCATTGGTATTAATTTTGCTGCTTCAGCCTGAGAATATCACAAAGCTGAATATTTTCCTTCATATGAACAGAAAACTTACAGCTAGTTTATCAGCCTTGGCATCACTGATACCCTTAACAGCCAGCAAACTTTTCCGTGGTGCGAACGCAATTGATTCGACTGTACAAAATCCAGCTTCCTGCAATTTTTTCAAATCAGCGTTACCAATGCCGCATGATTTATCAAGCTTATTGATTGGTGTCGGTCCACCAACATCAGCATCAATAGACATAGTATCGTTCATCTGAACAGTAGATCCAGCAGTCGTTGATGGTTGTGCTGACGCCGTTGTTTCTTTTTCTTTTTCATTTATCGAATCTCGTGTTTTAGTTTTTGGTGGCATTATTACAAGGCAAGGCAATTCTGAATGTTCTGATCGTAGGCTGAATGACACTGAACTTATATATCAGAGGCTCGATGCACTCAAACAATGACCAACGGTCGATCTTCAGACAATGAGTAATGCATTTCATCATCGTTCTTTGTTTTTCGTTCATTTTCGACTCAAAAAAAGGCCAATGTATTCATCAACGTATCTCTTCGTGTAATTTTTGTAGATTTCATGCTGTATAACACAAAATAGAAATTCTTTTCTTGATATCGTTTTTGTAAACGGTAGATGTCATAACTTTCTACACAATACACTTCTGATTCGTTCAATCAATCCAATATTTACCGTTTGTAAAAGACTTCTAACATGAATTCAGAAGAATTTTATCGTTTAGCAACAAAATGACAGCTGTTGCCGAGCGTGTTTCGCGTATCATCCCGAATATATTTGAAATTCTTTCTTCATTTAGATAGTCGTATAGCATCCTGTGTGTAAGAGCACTCTTCATCAAGTAAGAGATTGTTTTGTTGACTAGTAGCGAAAAGATGAAAACGATTTCCGGCAATATCTTTTTTTTCCGGAAACGGATTTCTTTTTCTTCATTGTCCTTTAATCGACACTTCTTCATCTGAATGGAACTGTCTAACCTCTTTAGTGAAGAGCAAAGAAGGCTCAAACATTGTACCATTGGTTCTCTTCCTCTAGTAAAGATACTTTTCATACGTGTGTTCAGACGAGATTAGAATATTAAAATGAGAGACTGATCCCTCATGCAATAGTTTTCGCTATGACACAAAGCAACGATTTGTTATCCAAATCAGCACGAATAAGTAAAATTCTTTTCTTTTTTTTAAAGATATGACTTCTCCCCGAGTATTTTTCGATGTATACGCTGATAGTACATCTCTTGGTCGAATTGTATTCGAATTGTTCGATACTGAATGTCCGAAAACATGCGAGAACTTTCGAGCCCTATGTACAATGGAGAAAGGCTACGGATTCAAGTCGTCCATATTACATCGTGTGATTCGCGGATACTTTTTGCAAGGTAAACAGATGAATGAATCATAAATGATCTACAATTCGTTTATTTAGGAGGTGATTTCACATCGTATGTATTGTTGTATTGATTTTACCTCTAAGTTTATATTTGTTTTCATTTCGGCTATGTTAGATACAATGGAACAGGTGTAAGTATTCTAAATCGAAACGAAACGAAATTTTCATTCGTTCATTTAGGGTAAATCCATCTTTGGAAAAAAATTCGATGATGAAAGTTTTGCTCGAAAATTTACCACGCCTGGTTTATTAGCCATGGCTAATCAAGGTAAACTCATGTTTGTATTTGTCTTATCCAAACGATCATCTGGGTTTTCTTCAGGACCAAATACTAACACATCGCAATTCTTCATAACACTCTTACCATGTCCATGGTTAAACGGTAAAAATGTTATATTTGGTCAAGTCGTCGAAGGCTTCGATGTGATTAAACAAGTCGAAACATATGGAAGTGATACAGGTATACCGAGCCGACGTATACTTATTCAAGAATGTGGTCAATTATAAACATGTGAACGAAATTTATGTTTTCTTTCTTCTTCTTTTGTTTTTGTGTTGCAGTGAATCTCTCTTATATGCACCGTCCATTTTTAACGTCTTCATTTCGTTCTTTTTTTAAATCTAAATATTCATTTCTATTCTGTTTGCATGCGCATGATTTTCTAAGATAATGGGAAAACGAGAAATAACCATTAGAGAATAATCAATCGACTGATGAAACGTAAAATATAATTCATTTTTTACTTAAGAAAAAGAAAAGGAAATTTTCTACCCATTGAATGTAAGAAAAAAAAGTAGAAGAAGTAATCTTGCAAAAGAAACATTGCATTCCTATGCTTTTCCTTTTTCAAGACAAGAAAAGAAAAAGAAATATTCGCCACAAAATCCTTCCTCTTTTTTTTCTTCTTCCCCATTTCTCGTTCCAACTTGCAACTTTGCGAACAAAACGAGTTACTCAGTTTTTACATTCTCCAGATTCCTCGAAGCACACGACAGTCAAACATGATCTTATTCAACTGGTTTCTACTGATTTTTTTCACAAATGCATATGCTCAAAGTATAGAATTCTTTGGCACTTTGATTTCTTCACTAATTGTCATCTCTTCATTTTATACAGACTGTTCCGATTACTATTCGTGTCAATTAGAACTATACGAAGAACTTCTGAGAAAATCTCGCCCATCGATACGTCCAGTTCAACGTGATTCGCAGAATATGACTGTTCGGCTCGGATTTTCGTTGGTCCGACTTGTTTCTGTTGTTCGTATCCATTCACTGGAGTAGAAATTTAAACTGTTGAATATCCTGTTTTAGAACGAAGAAGAGTCAAAATTAACTATCCGTGCACATATAAATCAAGTAATTAATCATGCAACGAAACGTTCTATTTTGATTGAAGTTCTTTCGCTGTAGACTTGGAATGCGTCGGTACTCGGTTGGAAAGCGACAGAATATGCAAATGTTCAACATTTTCGCGTTCCAGCACATTCAATCTGGACGCCAAAGATAGAGTTACTCAATCCGTGAGAAAACCATTTGAGTCTCTTTATTTATGCACTTGCTGATTGTTCAGAAGTACAACTGTCGATTCTGAAGCCAACCATTTCGTTAATATTCGATCGGATGGTCTTTGTGAATTATCTTATTCCAGCTTGCTCACCATTCCATGCAATTTCGATCTAACAAATTTCCCATTTGATCAGCAAACTTGTACATTCAAAGTAAGCTGATCTCATTTGTGATTTGATTAGTTTCATCATCCATCTTCTCACAGATGGGTTCGTCGCTCTACGATATCAATGAAGTATCGATCGAAAGAGCATTCGATTTTGTTATTGATGAGCCAGGTTTAATGCCCAACGGGTATTATTTCGTTTCGAATACTATTCAACAGCAGACAGCCTATTTCGCCGGTTTCGATCGAAGTTACGATCAAATTTCGATCAATTTCGACATTCATCGCCGCTCAACCTATTTTCTTCGACTTGTCAATTGGCCAGGTTCAATTCTCATGTTGTTAACATTGACAATCTTTTTTCTTCCACCGTCTGCTCCTGAACGAATCGTCTATAGTACGATGAGAAACAATTTGTTTTCTATTTTCTTCTCGATTTATCTATTTTCAGGCTCGATCTTACTTGTTTGTCAATTTCTTCTGCTAATTATGTTTGCTTTTTATGTTCCAAAACGACTGGGTACGACGTGGCCATGGATGGGACGCACGATTTTCTACGATATTTGTTTAACAGGCATGACATTAGTATTTTCGGTCTTAGTTCGCATGCTTTCGGATGAAAAATATTTTGCATCTGAACGACCATCAATCAAAATACGTAATGTATGTCCAACGAGATCTTTCTCCATTGACGTTTTCTCAAAATCACATATCGTTGGACTTTTTAGTTTGTTTTTGGCTTCTTATCCAAACTTGTTGGCTTTCGACGATTGTCATTCACAACACTGATTGCTGGTCGCGAGAGGTATTTTTAGTCACTAAAACTGAACTCGAATATCGATTTGCATTCTAGTGAATACGATATCAATGATTCTGTTATGGAACCTTTAACCTCTGTTGCGAACAACTCCGCAGGTATTGCTGCTGATTCTCAAAATGTTCCGTCGAATATTCTAAATCGTGATGTTGGTTTCATCAAACAGAAACTGCTTCTTTTCACAACTGAACACAGTATTCATCAAGAATGGATACTTCTTGCACATATCATTAATCGTCTATGTTTTTTAATCTATTTATTTTTCTTCTCCGTTTCAATTGGACATCACGTGTTTTATAAATAAATAATCGAAACTTTTCAACAGATTATGATTATCAATTTTTTGATCGTAACGCTTGATTTGTTTGTCGAGTTATTTCATTTGAGTTTCATTTTTCCTCCTTCTTCTCTTCGTCCCAGCGCATTTTTTTCTTTCTTCGACCTGTTTTGTACACGTGTAGTACAGTCAATTGATTGTAGTTAATGATATGGAAATAAGCATAAAAAGAGTCTATATGTGAACGAGCAGGAAACACAATCAACGCACAAAATCGACGACGATCAAGGTGTGCTTATCAGTCTGTTATTTTTAATAAAACCTTCAAATCTTATTAAAGTACTCTTTTGCTTTAGACTTCGAGAACAATGGGTTGTTGTGGGTCAGCGCAAAAGAAGCATGACAAACCAACTCGACCATCGAATTTAGTTCGGTTAAATAACGATGCCAGATCGGATCTTTCAGATGCGATCATTAACGATCTATTAACTAAAACCAAATTTAGTAAACAGGAGATTCTTGACTGGTGGCATGGTTTCCTAGCGGATTGTCCCACAGGTCTATTAGATAAAAAGAAATTCATTGAAGTTTATCAATATCGCTATCCGAATGGTAAAGCAAAAAACTTTTGCAACCACGTGTTTCGTACGTTTAATCCCGATATGAAAACTCATGCCATTGACTTTCAACGTTTCATGTGCGCGATCGATATAACATTAAATGGAAGTACGGATGAGAAACTCGAATGGGCATTTGCAATGTATGATGTCAATGGCGATCAACGCATCTCGAAACATGAAATGTCAAGTGTTGTTCAATCGATGTTTGATTTATTAGGTAAAGATAAACGAGGAGGCAACAATCCACGTCGACATGTCGATCAAATCTTTTCACGTATTGATGTCAATCAAGATAATTATGTTAGCAAAGAAGAATTTCTTCGCGGATGTAAAGCTGATGAACAAATTCGAACAATTTTAGCGCCACATTATTAAAGAAATGTTTGATTATCTGAGAAGAAGAAGAAGAAAACTAGTTTCGCTTCTTCTTTTTCTTCTTTCGCGAATTTTCACTAAACGAAAAAAAAGACGAGTATTTTGTGTTTTTTTTTCCATTGCATCATTATGAATAAAGGTTATTAAGTCACGGCTTCATCAATCATTCTTTTCTTTTCATATAATATTAATGATTGTTCGAAAAACGCATGCTTAGCAATGATATGGAATTGCTTACGAAGTGATTTATCATCGAACAAAGACTAGCAAATTGAAATCGAAAATTTCCCTGAAGAAATGAACATTCAGTCGATGAAGATGAGACAATTATATTTGCTAGTCTATCAACGATCGATCGAGATAATAAAATTTCGTGAAAAGAAAGACGAATGACAGTTGTCAGAACTTCTAATCCTATAAATTATTTTGAGGATTTTATTCAATCAAGACAAAAGAAAGCAATAATACTCAATTTACATTCTTATCGTTCGAGGAACTCGTTCAAATTATGAACATTTGTTGACAAAGGCAATCAATTCAAGACTTAACGACATCCTCAGCTCCTACCCAAGTCTTTTTTTCACTCTTTTTCAATATCATTCATAGACGAATACAATCACATATTCTCTTTGATTTTTCTTACAATTTTTACTTAGTTTTAAACCTTTCATCGTTTATGCCCATCATGCCGTTTTGGTACTCTTCGCGCATTCTACAATCGATTTGGAAACTCCGACAAAGTATAGCGCATCATTTATTAAATAGTCCTTCGAATTCAACTACTCGTCGAGAAATAGAAGTCATTAGTCAGAAGAGGACAAGTCACCATATCACATGTGTATCGAGACTACTTCCATAGCGCAGTTTCATTAATTGCATGCGTCTAAGCAACACTTAAACACGTCGAAAGTAAGAAAATAACATGGAATCACGGCTGGATCCAAAGTACATGTAATGCAAATCTCATAATGATCAAAGTACTACTTGAAAAAAGGCATCAACATGCAATTAAGATTATTTGAAAGACGACATTCGTCAGACAAATATCATGATGCCATGATTATTTCAAATCTCAAATAAATACTATTTCAGTACATACTCGTCGAACATGTTTGATAACAAAATAATCGATGCAGAGATTATCGTGGCTTATTATTCGCTCAGTGTGACTATAGTTGGCACATTATTCAACAGTTTAACATTTATTGTTCTTTGTCGATCGACATTTCGAAACAGTCGAGCAAGACCAACGTTTCACTATATGCGAGCGATAGCTGTATTTGATATCTTGATGCTCTACGGATGGAATCTTGATCATTACCTTGGACCAATACATGGCTTTACTATTCAAACGCTATCCATACCTTTGTGTCGATTTTTATCATTTTTTAATTACTTCATCTGTCAATCATCCGCTTGGCTCCGTGTTTTCGTTTGTGTTGATCGATATTTGATATTAACTCGGCTACGTCGAACATGGTTCAGCGATTCGAAACATGTCCTAATTGTTATCACTTGTATCATTACTTTTTCCTTCGGTTTAAATTCGCTTTTCTTCGTTTTCGGATGCTCAAAGGAGAGAAAACGCATTTCTGCTGAATCTTGGGCATTTCCAATGTATCCTCTATGGGATTATATCAATTTAACTGTTTATAATTGTATACCCTTGTTATTGATGACAATATTCAATACACGCGTGATTTCTCATCTAATTCGTCTGCGTCGTCAAAGTACAATTCAAAATTCTCAAATTCAACATTTATCTATGTCAATGACATTAGTAATCACGACATTTCTATTTTTGATGATGACTATACCTGGAACAGTTGCATTTGCGTTCTTTTCCTACAGAACGAGCATCATCTTAAGACGATTCTTGGATGGAATTTTATACACGTATCATATCTTATCATTTCCATTGTATATGATCACATTTGATGAGTTTCGACAAGAATTTATTCTGATGATTACATGCGAAAGGGTAAAAACAAAAGCAATTACATTCAATATCGCACAACCATATTTAATGAGTCACGTTTAGTATTTGACAGATATTTCTCAAGTTGTTATGTGTGTGTGTGTGTGTCTACGCTTAACTATGTCCAGTGATGTATTGTTCACAAGCTTAAAATAATAAATATCATCTCGATAGTTAATATTAATAACTAAATTCCACATTACTCCTTAGAGCATTGATCTGCATAGAAGCAGACATTAGATATCGATCGAGAAGTACGTTCTAAATGTATACTCAATGATACTCACCTTACTTTACTTAATGTTGATATTATGCAGTGGTATATCTAGTTCAATCAACCGTAACGGTTATTGTTCGTTTTTACTTATCAGTAGAGTATTTTTGAAGATATTTGTTTCATCATGTCTTCGGAAGGAGCTTCGGCAAGATACGAAACTCCACCATTTTCTAGTAGTAGGATGACGGAGGTGGTGAAGAAATTCGAATCTAAAATACAAGAAGCGATTCGTCATTTACCTGCCATATTTAACGAAGAACAGATAGAGAATTTGAAAAAACATAAATATGATCATGAAGGTACAACTTTGCTCGATCCATACATGCAAAAATATTGGGATTGGTTTGTGGAATTTTTCCCACTATGGATGGCACCCAATCTTCTTACCATAATCGGGTTAGCATTTCATGTCAGTGCTAGCATTTTCCTCATGATCCTTACAAATGGCGCTAAAGAACCAGTAATTGAGTATATTTTTCGGGTAACGATTGTTAACATTCTAACATTTAGTGTACTCGATGGATGTACTTCTTGACGGCAGTTGGACTTTTTCTTTATCAATCGCTGGATGCTATCGATGGTAAACAAGCTCGGCGAACTAAATCGGCATCACCGTTAGGCGAACTTTTCGATCATGGCTGTGACTCAGTGTCAACAGGTATACTTGTTTATTTTTCATAAAAGAGGAAATAATTAAATTTTTCTCTTTGACCGCAATGTATTAGTATTCATCACAGTCGCATGTTGTTGTTCTTTACAACTTGGTGTTCATCCGTGGTTGATGTTCTGGAGTTGCATGTGCTCATATCTAGCTTTTTACTGCGCACATTGGCAAACTTATGTTTCCGGAAAACTTCGATTTGGAAAGTGTGTAACGAAGAAAACAACAATTATTTCATGATAATTCCTATATTTATATTTAGACTGGATTGCACAGAAGCAGAGATCGCATTCATAATTGTTCACTTGATCACTACAATCTCACCTAGTTTTTGGTCCCATACCGTTTGTACTTGCCCAATCGAGTTCAGTTGAAAAACATCGATTTGTCTTTCTATTCAAGATACCTCTAATAAATGTTGAATTACGTACAATCGTAGGATTGTTAATCCTCGGTTCATCATCCTGGAGTGCTGCTAATAATATTTATATTACTCTTTCGCCAGGTATTTTGGGAAAACGAACGTCATCGGTATGTATTACTGACATCTTACTTCAACTTAAGTACGCTATCCTCTTTCTCATTAACTGAAGGGTACGAACATTTTGGTACCATTCTGGCCACTTTGTTTTTTTGTGCTGCTCGCATTGGCAGCTGCTATATGCTCAAAAGCACATACACTTGACTCACACACGACATTGTTTTTGGTCTGCTATGGTTTCATCTTCTCAAAACTGACCAATCGATTAATAGTTCGTTCATGTTTATGTTTCCGAGTGATCATCGAACAAATCCTTCTCTAATAATTTAGGTTGCACATATGTCAAAAAGCCCATTTGGTATATGGGACTCGATATTTATCGCTGCTATCGCTTTCTGCATCAATCAATCTTTCAATTGTTGTATCGGCGAGCACATTTTTCTTTGGGGTTGTCTTGTAAGTTCGATAAATATTCATTTCGAGACGTACATACAAAATCGGCACATCACAGCATGCGACAGGAGGAGAGAAACTGGGTTATATGAATTAGATTAGCATAGAAAAAATCTGTCAGAATCTATCGTGCGTCATAAATAACTTTATTGATGAAAAGACATACAGGGTTAAAGAGTCTTTTAAAACAAGCGAGGGTGTTTTTCCTAATGCATTTATTGACTATATTTTTTATTTAGATCTTCAATCTATACGATTTACTTCGCTACGATACAAAAGTATGTCAAGAATTATGTGATGCATTCGATGTCTTCTGTTTTCGAGTAAAACGACCACCGGCAGCGAACAACGATCGATCGCATTAGCTTTCAGCCAATCGTAACTCCGATGTGTTACTCCAGCTTTCACGACAGAAATGTTTCAGTCCCGAAAAGAAAAGAATAATTATTTCGTAATCGAAGCTAACATTTCTTTTGTGTAAGGCTTACTGATGAATACATAAAGAATGAATCTTATGTCGTTAATCATAGAAAACTAATGAATTAGTTGTTTATTAAAAACGCATCTGCTTGTCGAAATCCTCGTCGATATGTACGCATATCACACCCGCAAAGTGCAATGGTTCTATGAGAATATGCAGATAGGAAATGCGATTGTGCTGAATGATAGGAGAAAGAAATGACGCATTCAGAATGTTCCGAGATCGATACTCATTCTATTCCAGTTTGCATTATCAGATGGCGTATTTTTTATGATACATCGTAAATGATTAATATCTGCATATTACATTGTTAGATTCTCTTTCTCGGAAAGAATAAAAGTTGAACGTCATAGATCAATGGAGTAGAGTTCAAAACATTGTTGCATGTCTAAAAACTATGAAGAGTAGATCAGTGGCAGGAAAGTGTATTCACACAGGCTATAATTACAGAACATCGAAAGGAGTTTCCGATGAATGCTAATATCGTATTGCGTAGTGGGTAGTAGAAACTAGACGGATAATGTGGGAGCCCTCAGTACATTTTCAGTTTCATTTTTTTTTCTTTTTAAGATCGCAATTATACAAATTTATGGTGACCACACAGCTTGACGAGACAGAACAACGAAGTTGTTACTATCCATGATGGCGTATCATAAGAATAATAATAATAGCAATATGAATGCATCAGTGGACGAGCTTGATCATCGTAATTTTTTTGCCACTTATTACCCGTTATTTCTTGTGATTATGGGCACGATTCTCAATGTTCTGACGTATATTATACTTTATCGGCCGATCTTCCGTGATTCTATGCGGCAATCGACATTGTATTATATGCGCGCAATAGCCATTTTCGATATTTTGATGCTATATGGCTGGAATCTCGATCACTTTCTCTATCGAGCCTATGGATTCATGTTACAAACCTGGTCCATTCCAACCTGTAAGCTATGCTCATTTCTTAATTATTTTGCGTCACAAGTTTCCGCTTGGCTACGTGTATCGATTTGCTTCGAACGGTGTTTAGCGCTGAATTGGCCTCATAAACTTTCATCTTACCAATCGAAAACTGTTCTCATCGTTATTTCATGCCTTGTGATCGTATTCACATTAATCAACTTGCATTTCATCTTATTCGCCTGTTATTTCAACGAGAATGGCACAATGAATCTCAATGCGCACTTGTATCAAATCTATCCTCTTTGGGATTATATTAACTTAGTTATTTACAATTGTGTGCCATTTATTTTGATGGTTTCATTCAATAGTAACGTCATTTATCATCTCATGCGTTTTCGTTATGTTGGTGCAATTCAAAATGCGCGTATTCAGCATCGTTCGATATCGATCACCTTGATTATAACCACATTCCTCTTTTTAATCATGACCATTCCTGCAACGATCTGCTATGCATTTTTCTATGCTATAGCAAGTCGTTTTGTTCTTCATTTATTCGATTATATTCTTTACACATATCATATTTTGTCATTTCCAATCTATTTAATTACACTTCGCGAGTTTCGGCAAGAGATCTATTCGCTAATCGTTCGGACTCGATGGTATCGAACAGAGCTATTGTTTCATTATCGATGAAATAAGCTTGCAAATGATTGAAATTTGTTATTCCAAACTGATTGTCTTTCGTTGTTCTTTTTGTTGGTAGCAGTGACATGCATTAAATACAGTATAAAAAAAGAGAAAGAAACAGAGAGGAAGAAGAAAAAAACGTCTTCACACATTCCAAATGATCAAAATTTAGTTATGGAAACTTAGAGAAGCCATGAACAGAGATCTCGAATACAAACGGCGGTAAGCGAATATAAAAAGAAAGAAGGAAACAAAGAGGAAGAGAATATTGCGACTGATAAATTACGCATTTATATATAGGGAAAGATAGATAAATATGTATACTAATGTACATACATAAGGATTAAACATTGCCTTCGACAGTCATAATTAAAGGATTAACATACTCAAAGCCTTCGAATTCGGATTGTTGGATACGCGCTAAAACTTCACCGTCTTCAGGAGTTAAAACAACATCTTCGTTGGTGAATTGAGGATCGAAGTGTGAAAGATCCTTATCTTCAGTCAACATTGGCTTATAAGGTGGAACAATTTGTCGAGATTCTAATCGTTGCCAATCGATAGCAGGATAGAAGAATGGATGCAGACAAATGTCTTGAAAACCAGCTTGACAACCAATGATGGGATCATATCGACAACCTAGACGATTGCGTGGATCTTTGTTTAGAAAGCCTTCTAAAACACTCTTGGCTTTGACAGTCAAAGAACGTGGAATACGTATGGGTTGTTCGAGAATAACTTGAAATAAACGATCTTCGGTGTTCAAATCAGGATTTTCAGCTGAGCCAACAATCTCAAATGGAGATCGTCCAGCCATCATTTCAAACATCAACACACCTATGGAGAAAATTTGCAGATGGAATTAGCTGAACTAGAATTGAACATATTTACCTAGTGCCCACCAGTCAACGCTAAAGTTATAGTCATGATTTCTCAACATTTCTGGTGCGAGATAGTTCGGTGTGCCACAAAATGTACTTGTCCGCTCATCTCGTTTGAAATCCAAGCCTTCTTTACACATACCATAGTCCGTTAGTTTGATATGACCATCGGCATCGAGTAAAACGTTATCTAGTTTCAAGTCTCGATAGATTACGCCGTGCTCATGCAGAAAATGCAAAGCCACAGTGATTTCAGCTGCATAGAATCTAGATCAGTTCACAAAAGATCATTTTGAATGGCAATGTTTTCCTACAAACTAACCTGGCACTTGATTCCGGAAGTTTTCGTTGCCGTTGCATGTGATACATTAGATCTCCTCCAGTGACAAATTCAATGACGAAAAACAGTCTCGATGGCGTTTGAAAGCATGAGTGTAAACCGACAAGGAATGGATGATTTGTTGCTTTTTCGAAGACATTCTTTTCACATTGAATCCAATCGATGTCTTCATCGTCGTTTACAATCGATTTTTTGATCACTTTCATTGCATATAAACGTGGAGGCTGATGATTATGAGGCAGATGACGTAAATGACGAGGACGATACTCGGCGAGAAATACTTTGGCATACGAACCACGACCAATTACTTTCAATAATTCGAAGTCTTGCAAAGTAATTGTTGGAGGAACAGGTGCAGAATTTGGCATGTCACTACCGACATCGATGTAGTTACTATTCGTTCCACTTGGATCATCAAACGGAGATTGACCTAGATCGGTTAAACCTAAATTGACAAAATCGTTATGCATAAAATTCAGTTGAGAGTATGATCAATGATGAGAAATTACGAATTCGTTTTGAAAATCGATCCCTATTCAATTCGTTTTTCGAACTACTGCATATGAACTGAAGTATTTTATTCAGCATCAGTTTCGACCTTGAACATCCGAATGATTTCTGTTATTTCTCGTGTGAATCCAAATTTGATATTCAAGTTCGGAAATTCTGTTGATCAGGAAAATATTGACTGCTGTCTCCGTGATACTATGAGCTGAGTTTCATAAGGAAAATCAGAATACCACAATATTGATCCCTACTTCCTTTGTTTACCCTTCCTCATCGAGAACAAATAGAACTCAGACGAAACGATTGTTGTTCATTCTAGAGTGCAGAAAAAAACATCTCTACATTCACAAGCTGTACCTTGTGCTCGCTTCAATGGTCCAGGTTCACAAATATTGGTCATTTTCTGTTTGCTCATTGGATCTCGTGCATTCATCACACTAGCACCTGCTGGCCTATTTCGTTCAATCAAGTCACTTGATCCGTTCTGTTGTGATTGATCATTTGATTTCTTGCTCGATGTTGATTGTTGTCCATTGGATGTCAGACTATTTATCGATGTATGTCTTCCATCTGTTTCCTTTGCTTTCGAATGGTAAGGTGATGAACCTGACGATGTTGTGCCACATACGATTCGTAGTAGTTTTACGCATCGTTTATGAACAAGAACCTGTTTTGTTTATCGAAAATAGGAAAAGTTGATCGACTTTGTTTGTGAACTTACTCGACAATCAAGACATTTGTATCCTTGTCTACCTAAACCCCATAAACGATCGTTGCAGACAGTACAGGCAGCAGTTGTACTAAATCGCTTTGCTTGATAACGATGTCCATTGATTAAATAGAGCTTCTTCCACCGACGTGCGCCACGTCGATATATTAATGGATCTTCTCCTGGACACAGAAGACCTGGTTGTTCTGGACAACTTGCAAATACATGTATATGCAGCTCTTTGTCCGAATTCTTCTTATATAGACGTATGGCAGTATTTAATTCTCTCTGCGACGACATTGTAATCGCATCTAAGGCTTCGTCAAGCCATTTAACAGTGAACGATGGCGGATCATTCCATTTGAGATGACATATCGAGCATATATGAGTATAGAAGGTTTCTAATGATAGATTATATGGAAGATAGATAACCGTTGCTTGTTGTTGATAATGGATTAAAAATTTAACTGTTTCTGTTATATCATCATTATTCATGTTTGTAGATGAAGAGTTCATCATTGGCATCACAGTTTATATGTAGAACATGACGGAATGTATAGATCTAAAAATTCTAATAAAATAAAATAGCTAAGTTTCCTGAGAGAAGTTTGCTTTTGCTTTAAATAAAAAAGGTATCTTTAAGATCACAACAGACAATTCATTTTCGTATCTATGTCACACAAATACACATATAACATATATATACACACACACACACACACACACATTTACTATAAAACATCTAGACGGGAAAAGGAAATTACTCATGAACAATACGTTGATTGAGATTTGGATGAAGTGGTTTAATCGTATGTGAGTTTCGTGATAAACCAACGCGAGATGGTTGACTAGTTGGAATAACGATTTTACTTGTTGGAAAGCCTAATGGTGTATTGCATTTCTTCTTGACGACATCAATCGACAAGGCTAAATCGAGAAGAAAGAGTAGTGAAAAAGTTGGTTAGTTGTCAGATACTTGTCGGTTTTTGTTGAGCACGTGTTGTTGATCGAGCTGAATTGAGATCGATTGGTGTAATTGATGATGCTTCTGAAGAAAGAGGAAAATTGACTTATTTGTTCGGTATTCAATTTACCTGATGTTTTTGTTGTTTCCTTTGATTTACGAAGTGGTTTCTTTTCAGGTGTTGGTTCTTCCTCTTCTTCTTCTTCTTCACTACTAGGTTCACTTTCAGCGACATCTTCATCTACATTAGCGTTGATTAATATCACAAGTGAAACAGACCGTATCCTACCTTCAACTTCCTCTTCTTCTCTTTTGATTCGTTTGCTTTTTGGTGAGAAATCTTCATCCTGTTCATCAGATTTTTTCTCTGTCGTTACTTTGCTATCTAAAATTTAACATTACAGAGATTCTCTTCGTGAAATCGATTCCTTACCTAGACTTGATTCTGTTGATTGACTAGTTATACTTTGAGTATCATCGATCATAACTGGAATTTCAATTGAAACTTCGACTTCTTTCGAAAGTTTGAGAGCCAGATCGATCTCTTCTTGTTCAACTTTTGATAATCTATTCACACATGAAAATTATCATCAGTCTACTGCTTACAACTGTAACAAACTTTTCTGGTCGTTTTCGTGGTGGTACTCGAGTCGACGATTTAGTTTCATTTTTCTCTTGCTTCTCTTTTGAGCTACGAGTTTTCTTCGAAACAAAGTCTAAAGCGAGAAAACGTAAAATTTCATTGCCAAACCTTATCTTTACCATCATCGTCATCAATCTCTGTATATGACACTGACTTAGCTGAACTAAACATGACCAAGCACACTTGAAAATATCAGACACATCAACAACCGCTTACCGTTTTGCACCAGGCATGTTATCTAGAAAAGAAAAAGAAACAACAGTGATTCAAAAATCTGTCACATCAACGTCAAAATGTGATTAGTGTGTGAGTTAACTGTTACTAGGCAGATGTCATAAAAAAGAGTTATATCATTGAAAGAAAAATTTTGCAATATAAGCTTCGTATGCAAAGAACAATATTGACAGTCGACAATCACGTCACATGTGATATTTGGATACTAATAGTATAGCATATCATTAAACATTCGAAGAGGAAGTTTCGATCTAAAAAAAAACAAATATAAATAACAAACCAAGGCGTAATTCTGTGCACAAACATAAGCAAGTCTCATTCATTTTATTCAACTGTCTTTTATTAAAATAGAACGAAGAATGTATTGATAAATGTAAATGATGACTGGATGATTTCATTGTTAAATATGTATTAATTTGAGTTGAAGAAAGATGAACCTGAAGACGTGTGTAGTAATTCACGAAATTTTTCAGCTTTGATTTTCAATTCATGTGCTCGTTTGCGATTTTCGATAAAACGACGTTCGAAATCAGTGACTTCATCTTCACTTTTTGCACCATAGAAGAAGTCCTCAGCAGTCTCCTGAAAACGAACAACAATGAATCCATTTCGCACAACTAATAATCATCGACAAAACTTTGCCAACCTCGGTAGTACGTTCAAGCTCAGATGCCGCTGTTTGCAAAAGTACCCATGTCATTTCTGGATTGTTCTCACCGACTCGCTCTTCTATTACCATCAAGATAAACAAATGTTCTTGATCAATTCGAAAAGAAATTCAAAACGCTTTACCGTATTGTTGCCGAACAAGATTGTATTCTTCTTTGGCTTTGTTGAGTTCGTCATATACTTCTCGAAGTTTTTCTCTTTCGTCAGAAAGGACCGGTTCCTTATCTAGATTATCGATTGCGAGACGGTTGATATTGAGTTTCAAACTTTCTTTTATCGTTTCTATATGTTGCATCTAAGGTAATTATTTTGCAATGATAACATTTACTTTCGCAAATACACGCCTCTTACTTCGTTTAGATTGGTAACGAACTTGTTTATCTCGTCGGGATTATGATACAATTTTTGTAAATCATCATCGCTTTTCTGACTGATGGTATTTCGTAGCTCGCTTAGAAGATTGTCATAATTTGCATAATGACCGTTCATAATGTTATTTAGAAAAAACAATACTTGAGAATGAATATTTCTTTTGCTTGTTGCGTTCTTTCTCTTCGTTTAAACAAATAAAATAGGTCATGATTCATTTCACTACACCCTTATTGCTATTGCTTTTTCAATCACCAATCAGATTGCAGAGAGAAAATTCTTCGTTTTTAACATTAAATAAAAAATAGATGAGCACATTTATTTCTGTCGATCAGAAAACACACTGAGTGATAGTTCTAGCGTTTTCGAATCCTTGCAATATGTTGTTCGACTTGCTCAACTCGTGAATGAAACTGAAGTTTTTCTATATCACTCAGTAGGGGCGTTTTCTCTCTCAATCAGTAAGACCCAGTGCGGCGATACATATATCTCGTTTGTATTAACAAATGAAATATTTGACATATACGACGTTGAGGGCTGATGTATCATACTCACTCAGATGATAACCCACGAAAATAACAGCAGCAAGTTATTTCTAACATATCTTTTGCAAGTATATACAAAGCTACTGATATTCTAATGACTTTGCACATTAATCACTATATCGTCTGTGTATGTATAATTCTAATTGAATCAAACACTGCATTCGAGTGCTTTTATTAGTTCTGTACTCAATAGACTCCATCAAATTTTGTCTCGGGATATGATTTTCGAATAACGATGCACTCGTCAAGAATGTAGCTAGGAATGCGACATGTAAACCATGATCACGTCTTCATCTTTATCGTTCGCAGATATTCAACAGTACTAAGTTGATGCGACGTAATAAAATTGCTTTTAATATTTCTCCCTGAATCCTGTTACCTTATTAATACATATGTTAGCAATCTCAACGATATTTCTTCTATTTCTTTGCACCAATACCAATGCTCATACAAATGATGACAGACCGAACTTTTACCCACCTTTGTGGCATTTAGTTCCATCATCTATAGATGAATTTCCATTGATCAACGAATCAGTAGTGCAATACCGATTAATCGATCCATGGTTCTATCCTCATCGACTTGGCCTATTCAAGATTCTGGTCAATGTCACCACACCATATATGCCATTTTGTTCATCATCGAATGCATCGAATATACTTTTTGCGTTACCATCTCAATTCGGTTGGTTGTTCAGTTCGAATCGTTTGTTTACGAATGGAACAATGTACATGTCAACGGATAGTTGGTGGGCATCGGCAAATTACTATCTATCCGTAGTACCATTTCTTGCTGCTGTAGATGTCGGTTTGATTGAAAAGGCAACATTTCGAATTATTCAACAGGAGAACTTCTGTTCGAATTCTGCTCAATGTTTCCAACAAATTCCAAATGCAATGAATCAATGGCATTTGTTTTTTCGTCGTCTTCGACATCCGGAATCTTGCACTGCTAAGAAAAAACTTACTCCACGCACTATTGATGAATGTTATTTGGAACCAATATGGTCAGCGTATAAAATGTCAATATATGATAGTTTGCCACTAGTCGAATCGAAATTACAATATTTACCTTCTGAAGTGGAAAAGATGTTTGGTCTCGGATGGGCAAGACTACTCCATTTGATTTCGATGACAAGGAAAAACACGAATCTCTACGAAACACTGAAAAATCAACGAAAATTCTTACCATTTCGAATGTTAACATCATTGGATCGAGCAGCAGATTCCAATGATTTTCCCGATTCAGTCAATCATTCATTAAAAATCCTCCTCACACTTCGTTTCGATTGGTTATCCTTCATTGAATACTTTTGGCAAAAGTTGACGTGCACTTATGAAGGAAGAGTCTATGCTCAACAAATACTGGAAGTAATGTCTGTGTCCAAATTGCTTGCTTTTCATTATTTAGTTAAAGCAAGTATAAATGCGCTGATAGAAAAATGCGAGTCTGTGCCACATGTTTGAAAAATTCATATTTCTTTTTAATAATAAAAGACAAGATCATGTCTGATGTGCAATCACGAATGTGCTCTGACGATTTGGTGAATAATGAACATTGATTTATTGCTTATATATATATGCAAAAACGAACTAGATTGAGTCATTGCAGCAATAGAAATGATTAGAAAATAAAGCAAAAACAAAATAGACTGATTTTGATCTGGACAAAAGTTAGTTGGTCGATCGAGTTTAGTCTGCATAGGTCGCATTTTTTCTTCGATGTTGATTCTGTTTCTTGCTATCCTGTTGATGTATCAATGCTTCTCGGATGTACAGTTTCTGATCAGAGTTCAGTCCATGTGGATATTCAACATCGAATTCAATGATTAAATCTCCGTATTTATCCGCATCAGACATCAATGGCATACCTTGACCTGGAATGCGTTTCTTATAACCAGGCCTAAATATACACCAGAAAATTCCTTTGTTTAAGGTGAGAAGGTTTTGTTGAGTTTTACCGGACAATTTCATTAATAGGAATGTCTAATAATCTTCCATCAAGATGTTCAATATGTAATGTGATACCGGTTAATGCGTGTCCTAAATTAATCTTAGCTGTGTGAATAAGATCGGCGTTCTCCCGACGAAAGTTTGGATGTGGTTTGTCTTTAACTATGAAAACCAGATCGGATGGTATATTGTTTGGACCTTGATCACCTTCACCTTCGAAAGTAACTTGTGTACCTGGCAACCAGCCACGTTTGACAGTAATTGAAAGAATCTTTTCTCGAATACTGGATGATATACCGTCATCATTCATAATCTGAAGAGAGTATCGAAAGAAAAATGTCTATGACTGATTTCTCACATGATTTACTCGTCGACTTATTTTGATTTTCTTGATTGCACCATGATAGCAATCTTCAAGAGACAGTAGGAGATCACGTACGATTGGAGGATCTTTTCTCCGTCGGCCGCGACCATCGACACAGCCAAAACCTAAACTTCGATCTTGTGCAGCACTTGTATAAAAATCTAAATAGGAAAATGCAATTGTTCTAATCTGTCATTTGAAAATTCAAACTAACCTGCAAATGGATTATCACCACCGAAAAAATCTCGAAATACTTTGTCAGCATCGCCATGAAATACATATTCATCCGTCCATTCATTTTCCATTCCTGAAAAAAAGTAATCTTGTCTCGTATTTCAATCTTTGTCGTTAGTCAAATCAAATCCAACCTGTTGGTACTCCACATCGCAAACCTTCATCACCAAACTGATCGTATATTGCTCGTCTTCTATCTGAATTTCAATTCAAACAACTCTCTATTCAAATCAAACAACAACAAAGATAACTTACTGTCACTTAATATATCATATGCTTCAGCAAGCTCGTGGAATTTCGTAGTTGAATTCGGATCATTGGAATTTTTTAGCGGATGAAATTTTAATGCTAATCGACGATAACTAAACAAGACAAGTGCGAATGGATACGACCGATCTATTCTTCATACTTACGCGGCTTTGATATCCTTATCCGTTGCACTTCGAGTTAGTTGAAGAATTTGATACGGATCTTTCGACATTTGTTTCTATCTAATTTTCCTCGGAGAAGAATTCCTTTGGTTACTATATGCGCTCTATCTAGTTACGAGAAAAGAAAAATGTTACTTTTACCATCGGTATCTCCACTTGCATAGCAACGACTTCTTTGGTATACAGCAAACAAGCGACATCCACATGGAACGTAGTGGTTTATTTTGTCTATAGCCATACAAATATAGAAACATGAGAATTTGAGAAATCAGCACGTATAATAAGATTTTAATTATGAAAAAGAAATTTGATATGGCACACACAATTCTGTCTGATGATTGTATGTATTTTTAAAATTCGACCTAGAATGGTTCCGTACAGATACCATGATCGATTTTACATACAACAGTGTGTAATAGAACAATCAGGAACTCCGAGATCTTTTTCGAACCAATTGAATATGTTACTGTAATCAAGCAAATGTCAACTGAAAATCAAAGTTATTCTTATTTTGATTTCGGTTGATTGAGAAAGAGGAAAAATCTAATTAAAAAGATATGATCTCTGACTTTTCAGTCTTTGGCATTCATTTTTCCTTCCCCCTTCCCTTTCTTCTTCGTCTTCGCCTTTCTACGCTCTTCCTTGTTGTTTGTTTTGCTTCATATGGCCAAAAACAGATCCTGTCTGTAAATAGAAGAAGAAGAAGTTCTTATCAGAACAAAATAACCCTGTCATCTGATGTCGATTATTATTAAGTAAGTGCGATCAGGAACAAAGGCGAAGAAATTTGAGTTTTAATCAAACAAAAATTGTGCGAACTTTTTCGTCCAGTTATAAACTCATCCGAAATTCAAGTCAAGGAATGACGTATTGTTCTCAGGAAAAGAAAAAAAAGAGCGACATTGATTGCTCTATAGAAGTTCACGTTCTTGTATTGTTAAAAAACAAATTCATCATCATTTTACATCATGTATCCGATCATTAATCATGCTAGAAGAAAAAAAAACGTCGTCATTAGCATCGCCGGAAATCATTTTCTTTTTGAGAAAGGAGAAAATTTGCTTTTTTTCGTTTTCTACTGAGCACAATCTACTGCGATGGATGACTAGTGACATCTATCAGCTTTCATTCTTATTGCTTTTCTTCGTATATTTAGTTTTCCTGAAAACAAGTGCACAAAAAAAAACATTGATTTCTTGAGTAGTGCTACGATAAAAGTAAAAGGAGCTTTTCGACCTGTTTGACATGTTATAACTATTGATCACTACAAAACAGAGACTCTTTGCATAGTTAATGGCGCTTAACAACGGCCGCTGATTCGTTCATTTTCATCGCTTTCTTTTCTTTCCCTACAACAGAACTGTCTAAATCCATTTAAAATAATTTCATTATTTCAAACTAAATGTTTTTCTTTTTTTTTGTTTCGTTTTAGGTAAATATTATTTTTTATCCATATCTCGATTGATCTATTCAATTATCTGAACTCTTTCGTTTTCTAGTCTTCCTCTGTCTGATCTTTTCTTCTGTCTATGATTTTTCTAATTAATCGATTCTACATCAAATAAAACGTACAAAAAAAACAAAGCCAAACATTCGAGAAGAAACGAACAATTTTATTTGAAATAAAAACCAATGATCGATGGCAATGTTGGAGGCGGTGGTAGCGAAACCGATATTATCGGTAGCGCATCTGAGATCATCAAAGATCGCCTTTATTTCGCCACATTACGTATACGACCTAAATCCACTGCCAACACACACTTCTTCTCCGTCGATGATGAATACGTCTATGAAAAGTAAATTAAAAAGCAAAAGTTTACTGTCAATCGCATCTTTTTCTGTCCATAGTTTTTATGCTGATTTTGGCCCGTTGAATTTAGCCGTCGTTCATCGATACTGTACAAAGTTGAATAAAAAGCTAAATGTATGGAAAACAAACTTGATTTGTTAGTATTTTGATTGCAAATGTTTCTTATTAGAATCCTACACTTGGACACAAAAGAATCATACATTATACAACCTTTGATCCAAAAAAACGAGCAAATGCAGCATTTCTTATCGCTGCTTATTCAGTAAAGAAAGGTTTTTTCGAAGAAAAACATCTCCTCTTTTGATTTCCAGATTATCTACTTGAGACGAACACCTGAAGACGCATACAAACCATTAGTGAACGGTATCAATGCTTTCCATTCATTTCTGCCATTTCGGGATGCGTCACTTGGCTCGTCATCGTATAATCTTACATTACTCGATACTTTGCAAGGACTCTATAAGGTTAATCTTATTTCCATGTATTATTTCCTGTTAACAAAGGACAGTATTTCTAGGCGATGCTTCACGGCTTTTTTGACTTCGAAAATTTCGACTTAGAAGAATACGAACATTACGAAGTAACGTTCTCGAGAAGAAAACTGATTGGTAAAAGAGGAAAGTTTATTTTTGTTTAGAAAGTAGAAAATGGAGATTTGAATTGGATTGTACCTCGTAAAATACTCGCGTTTTCCGGTCCACATACGAAAAGTAAAATCGAGAATGTAAGTTGGTGTTTGTGACATGTTTTTTTTTCCCGACAACGTATATTCATTATGATCTTCTATTCAAGGGTTATCCATTGCACGCACCCGAAGCCTATTTTACTTATTTTCGTAAACGAAATGTGACGACCATTGTACGTCTGAATAAGAAAATCTATGATGCCAAACGATTTAGCGACGCTGGTTTTGATCATCATGAATTGTTCTTCAATGATGGTAGTACACCGAGTGATGCGATTACGCTGAAATTCCTGAGTATTGTGGAACAAGCGAAAGGAGCTGTTGCCGTTCATTGTAAAGGTAATGAAGACAAAAAACGAATTTCAAAGAGCAAAATAATCATGTTCTTTCTTGCTTTTTGTTATGTACAGCGGGCCTTGGTCGAACGGGTACTTTGATCGGCGCATACCTAATGAAGCACTATAAATTTACAGCAGCTGAGATTATTGCTTGGTTGAGAATATGCCGGCCGGGTTCTGTTATTGGACCTCAGCAAAATTACCTCGAAGAGTAAAGATTCTGATTGGCTTATGCATAGCGAAAAAATTATGATAATATTTTCCATCGAATCTTTGTAGAAAACAAGCGTGGCTCTGGTCATTAGGCGATATGTATCGAATTAAAGACCGTCCGCGATACATGTCCTCGTACGGTGTAAATTCCGCTATGGACACGACGGGTCTTGGTCCCCTTCGGTACTCAATAGGAGACTCGAATAATAATAATGAAGTACGTTCTGAATCCACGAAATATTTATGCTATAGGAACGATATTTTTATATTTAAAGGAAGAGAATGACAATGAAATAACGCAAGGCGATCGATTGAATGAAATCAAAGCACGTCGTATGCAACAGCATCATTCCACAAGCCCATCACATTGGGCATCTCCAAACACGAATGTGACTTCGAGTTTAACGTAAGCTACATTGCTTTTTTGCGAGCTCTCTCGTTTTTTTTCAAAAGCCTTTCAAGTCGAACCTAGTGCCAAACGAAAACGCTTGTGCATGTTTAACGAAAGCATAACTAATCGTTTAGGTGTAAATATTGTAATAAAACTTATCAGTCATCCGCAACATTAATCAAACATACGAAAAGCCAACACACAAATCAATTCCCAATCACTTGTAACAAATGTTCCAACAGATCGTTTTCAACAAAAAAAGCTTTACAAATGCATCAAAACCGAATGCATAACAACACTAATGCTATCGCCGATGGTGGTGGTACCGATAGGTACTTCAGATTAGTTTCTAATCGCATGGGTGAACTGTTCGTCTTCAAATGCTGATCGTAGAGAAACGATCTTTGATTAGATAATTAATAGATTGTTTGGGAAGATTGTTCATTTCACTGCTCGCTCTGTTCGTTTTCATCTTTTTTTTATTGCTCGAAAGCTGCTCGTTGAGTGATAGGGAATCGGTATGATTTGATGTATGAAAAATATTTTGTTCTAGTCTGTTCACAAGACCTTTATTGTCAGCAGCAACCATGGATGATGAACACATAGCGCCACTTCGACTATACAAGAATCGTGCTGTTACGGCTCCTATCAATTTCCATGAAATCCATCGATCGACTCTATTTGCTACGCTAGACTCAGAAAGGTGTTTTCATAAAATAGGATTTCGGATTGTTGTCATTATATATATATCAATTATCCTTTCGCTTCTATATTTCCAGTTGTTTCGTTAGCCATCCTATGTCTTTTTTACCCGTTTGATCGTGTGTATGTGTGTATGAATGCGTTTCATTTGCATGATTTAGTAGCTCGCTGATGAAAAATGCCGAGCAGGGACAGCGCTGCCATGTTTTCCTATTGACTTTTTATTGATTTTATACTCAAATTTTCTTTTTATTTTATTTTCTTATGCAGCTTCGATCCATCGTCAGCATACAAACGCGCTCAAACAGCACTGATCTCTTCGGGCGGCGTACCACTTCAAAATGTCTCATCGTCGATGGCTCCATCAGCAAATCTCCGTCGTAGCTATACACCGGTATCAAATACGCCGTCAAATGCTCTGGCAAGTTCCAATTGGCGCAAGCCTCGGTCTTACATAACCCCATCGGCATCGACTATGAAAACGTAAGAGTCTATTTATAAATATGACATTTACCAGATCAAACACATTCATCTTGCATGAAAAATAGCCTGAATGAGATACAAAGACTTATTAGTTCACAACACCTTTGTAAGCGATATATTTACATATACGACTAAAAAAATCTCTAATCTAAAGAAGGAAAGCACAATAAAACTGTTATTTATTGATGTTAGAATCTGACAAAAGAAAAACACGCACTATTGACATAACTAAATCTGCGTTTTTCCTCCTTTACTTTATTCATTAATTTAATTCATTGTATATTCTAGTCCGATGTATTCCAGTGGACGTTACATGACTTCGGCATTGAATGATAATATGGGCACAACCTTAACTATATCTGATAGCGCCAATCGTGATCCTGTTTCATCAGCGATATTGAAAACTTCTTCAAACCAACAATATCGTGGTAAATCACCGATCGCGAACACGACTTCATCACCCACTCATTCTTATTACACACGATCAAAATCGGTAAATGCACGATGAGCAATTTCCTAACTTTGAACTTTCTCCCTTTAGTCTTATTCCAAATATTGAAATTCACCAAAGTAGAGAGAAAAACGAAAAACCCGTTTTGCTGTCCTCCAATGCAGTCTCTCTTTCTCTCTCCCCTCGTTCACTTATTTGTGCCAAACTGCGTGTTTTTTTCTTTTTTTTTCAATGAGAATCGCTTTTTCTATTCGTTTTGTTTTTCTTTTCCTTGTTTTTCTTGTAGTTGCGAGACTTTTTGCTTTAATAATTATGGAAGTTTTTTTAAAGAAAGAACAAGTACTCTCTTTGTCTCTTGCGTGTATGCATTTTTTGTTAAGCTTATTTACTGATCCTGCCGCTACTACTGATGCTTTTTTCTACTACTACTATTACTCTCTCTATCTATATATATATATATATATATGAACGGAACCTTTCTTGTCTTGTATATGTATTCTCTTGTAATTTAAAACAGAACAAAATATAATGACGAAAAGACAAGAACAAAAACCTGAATTTCAGATTTATTGTAGCAAATAAAGTTCTTTTAATAATTGGATTTCGTTTGTTTAGCTTATATTACATGATTGACAAAAGCAGATTGTCGTAAATCTCATCTTTCTTTCACAATTATAAGCAGATTTAATAATAAATGGACAATTTATTCAAAATAATATTCCGATCTGACATTGCATTTAAATCTTTTGAATAATTATTCTCACAATTCTATCGACGTCCGGTAACGGATATTTGATCAATTCTTTGACTGAAATTATTCCTTTTCTGGAGTCAAACTTTATAATTGTATTGTTCCGGACTATGATCATTATCTACGTCGAATTATTAACGCAGGCGATTATCGCATTTTCTTCTCTCGCTCTTCGAATGACTTCTTTTCTCAGTTGATTCATAGACAGATGACTTAAGCATTAAATTAAGTAGTTCATCATCGTCATCATCATTGCTTCTTATTGTAATTGCTAACATACAGGAAATTCTTATTGAACAACGAAGAAAAAGCAGAGAATGAGCAAGCATACGGATAGATAGAGAGATAAGGAAGAAGTAGAGGGTGAGTGAATTCTCTGGAGATCTCATTTCTTTTTTGACGAACATTCATCATCATTTCTCTCGTTTTTCTTTCTGTCTTTACATGAAGTTTTTTTTTCCAAAATGGTAGCATTCAGTGTTGTGTATGAAAACCGAGGCGATGAAGAAAGAGAAAAGAAAATGGGGAAAAATCTATCTGACTATTAGAATCGAGAGAAATGTGATGCGGTTTGATAGAAGATGGAAAGCTCAACAGAGGAAAACATAGAAGAACAAAGAGAAAACGCGAATCGAGAGACGTACTGGACGGGAAAAGTGAGGGAAGCACGTCAAGTAACTAAAGCATACAAAGGCACATGCACATGCGCACACGAGTTTGCCAGTTGAACTTGTGAGTATCCGAGAAAAGAAAAAGAGAGAGAGAGAGAGAGAGAGAGGCAGAAAAAAGACAAGGACAGAACGGAACACTGTAGAATAGTACTACTGTGCAACAGCACCAAAAAGGAATATTTAATTAATATGATTGTAGCGTGGCATCAGATCATACGTCATTGTGTCTCCGGTCGTTCAGTCGCCCTCCGCCCATTTTGTCTTACTGAATGTTCAATTCATTGAAAAGGTGGGTGCAAGATGTGGCGGTCGATCTTAATCCATCGCTACCACCGTTAACATCATCAACAGCGGCAACGTCATCACCTTCATCTCCATTGTTACTACCGTCACTTTCAAGGCAAGGAACAGGCACACAACAGTATTCACGTTCGCTAACACCGTCGAATGAACACTTTACAATAAATCCATCATCAGCATCGACGATGGGTCTCACGAGACCAATATCCATGGATAATATGCGTGGTTCCAAAGTGACGAATGCATTTGTACCACCACCACCAGCATCGCCTGCAGAACTCGATCTAAGTCATCTGAATCGTGAAGAACAAGAACATATCGCTAATGTTCTCAGACGAGCAAGAGCTGTCGACGAACAACAAGTATCAGTTCCACCGGTCGTTGTCCATACAATTCAATCGCCATCGGCGTCAATAGTCTCGGCATCATTATCGCCGTCGGCATCATCCTCGTCTTCCAAGTCGACAAGTAGTTTTAGCAGTGACAGAGCGGAAAAATATATAAAGAACGATAAAAATGATAATATCGATGATCCTGATATGTAAGTAGATTAGTTCTCGCATGTTTCACTTTCATCGCACGAAAAGTCATATCTCTTAGATTCTTATTTAGAAGATTTTCACACATCATCTCTCTCGATAAATTCTCTAATTAACTTTGTCGCTTCAAAGGTGATGCATGTCAAACTAGACAATAAAACAAATTATTCTTTTCCCTTTTCATTTCCATGGCCTTGTACTTCCCAGACATTTTAAATCTTTCTCCGTCTCTCTCTCTCTTTCTCAGCATAAATATATATATATAAATATTTAGCTAGCACGCAAATAGTGATAAAAAACAAAGAAAAAGGACTCTTCGCACAAGCGAGAAAACGTCAATTAGAAAAAGATTATTCATAACGAAGTTTGACAAAACTCTCCCTTGTTTTCCCTTCGTTAGTCAATTCAAATTCAACATGATTCTATTTGAGAAATCATATATGAGCAGTGATCGAGCACATCTATTAAATTTGATGATGGATGATTTCTCACAAGAGTTTTCTTTTATTAGCAGATATAACGATGAAGAGCATTCTTCGTCGCCGTCGTTAGAATCAACAATCATAAATATTCACCGATGTCAAGTGTGCAATAAAGAGCAACAACAGAAACTGGAAGAAAATGTGCCGATTTGTCTTCAGTGTCAAATCGATGAAGAAATTGCTCAAACAATGCAGAACAATACCATTCCTGTAAGTAACAACAGAAATGTCTGTTTGCGATGCCATTCAATACTTCAAATATCGTTTTTCTTTTCGGATTTGATTAGCACACGTCGATAAGAAAATCATCATCTCCTGTCCAAATAGAGCTGAATGAGAATGACGAAGATAAACTCTACGATAACGTCATGAGAATTGATCAGGAATCAATAAAACCAGATTCGCCGACAGAAGAATATGCATCTCATCTAGAAGTTTCTCATTATATTGACAAAATGAATGATAATCAAGGCGAAAATGAAGAGGAAGAAGAAAGGAACGATGACGAGGAACAACAACAATGTCAATTAGTAAGTCTTGAATCGTCATTTCCCGTGAAAACGCGATCAAATAATCTGACAGAAATCGATGAGAACGATTTCTTTTATCAAGGACCAAGTCCTTACATTGCTGCAATTGATAATAATCAAATGCTCGACAAAATCGAACAGCCATCTCCGCCAACATATAAAATCGATGAATATGTCGACGAAGAGGATAATGATGAACGCGATCATGTTAAAGAACTTGAAGAAACAATCGCAAATCTCTCTCGACATCTGCCCGTATCACCAACACAAGTAAACGAGATGAAAAATCAAGCAATGATCACAAATTTACGTCAACCAACAAACTTATCTGGCAGTAATATCGATATTGATTCGATTCTTGAGATGGAAATTGAATCACCATCTGCCGATGATCAGTTTATTCAATCTTCTTCAGTCTCTCGATCTTGTGCAGAAGCTTCTCAACATCCTCTCAATGTTCCCATTACTGTACCGATATCATTTAATAATAGTCGTCGAATAAGTCTTAGTCGTTCATCCGGTGTACGAGAAAATCTAACTGATTTATTATTGACAACCGCAACAACGACAGCATCGTCGTCGTTCTCATCTTCGTCCTCGTCAACATCGTCAACAACAACGGTACTACCAACACAAGAATCCTCTTGTGACGATCACCGACCATTGCAGCGAACAGCATCCACGTATGGAAAGGTATATAGCTAATAATGTGATTTACTTTTATTTTCTTATATTAATATAATCCGGATAAGATGAGGCAATCTAGTTTACGTAGACTCATTAAATTTGATGAATATTTTTCTATTTTGACGTAGTTTCAAAGCAAAGATATGCTAATATATTCATACGATTAACAACGCAGCTCTAGGCGATCTCTTATTTCATTAAAAAAAAACTACATCCGCCTTCTCTTTTCTCATCCTCTCTTCCTCCTGTCCTATACAGACAATTTTCCTTCCAAACAATTTATAAATATTAAGCTTATCTTCGAACTACCTAGAGAAACACCCTACTTGCTTTTTTTTTCTCATTCAGCGTATGATGCTGCCAACACATCGACAAAAACGCAATCTACCATCTGTTCCCACAATTACAAATAGCTTACAATTACGTCGCGTCAACTCCGAATCTCGTTTCAGTCTTCCAGCTGCCCCACCTTCAATTCTTATTACTAATGGTAATCTCGATGATGAAAGTGATCTGTTAGAAATTGATCTCAATGATCCCATTGGTTCAATGAATAGAACAGAACATTTGAAAACAGGAACGAATTCAACTATGAATAGTAATCCGTCGGATTATAATCTAGTGACATTAACTACAAATGATCAATCTTCATCCATGGAGGAAATTATTATCAGAAAAAAGCCAGCGAAACAGCTACGAGACCAAACAACAAACACACCACCAATGTCAACTCTATCGTCTTCATTTAAAACGAAAAAGAAACTGAAAAAGAAAGGTTCATCGTCACCTAGTAATACCAACGGTCATCATATCAACACTACGCATGCCAGTGATCAAATATCGTCCACACGAGCAAATCCACCTGCAAGTTTAATAACTCCAACTACGACAAATATCACTCGTCCAAAATTACAGAAGGTTTTTATCGTAACAAATCGCTAATGACTTTAATATTCTTTTCATAGAGCACAAGTACTGATATGCTATATTCATTTCCTGTTTCAAAATTACTTCTAAGCCATGATAATCTCAATCCGTCTCGACGTGGTATGTTGATTATCCTTGTTGAGACGACCACACTGTGTGTGTTTTTGTTCGGTTAGATGATACTGATCTTGGCCTTCGCATAACAGGTGGGCATTCTATACCGAATTGTGTAGAAGTAACGGCACGTATTGAACATATTGATACTCATCATCGAAATTACGATATATTAAAGAATGCCGTTCAAGAAGGTAGATTTCAGAGAATGAAATCTTTCTGAACCTCCCATTGCGACTGCTATGATTTAGGTGATGAAGTTCTGGAAGTTGGTGGAGTATCTTTACGTGGTAAAAGTGCGTTATTCGTTCAAAAACTGATGAATTCCATTCAAAGTGAATTTGAAATCGTTGTTCGGAGGTGAGAAGTTCTCATTTATCTGCAACTATCTCATTCGCACATATTTCTATTTCAGCAAACACATCGTGCCACCGATTTCATCTCCGATTGAACTTCATAAGACAGAGCATAGAAAATCATCAAAACATTCCACAACTAAACTACCCATGTCACACAACTCGCTTATGGTTGATAATAGTATGCAGCGAAGACATTCCATGGATGCATCCCAACTTTCTCCCAACAGCTTGAATACTAATAACACAGTCGTCAAATCTCAATCAACAATGATGTCCTTAGGAATAGACGATACAAATCCCATCGATGATCGACTACTTTCCATGGACAACCCTCGAAAGAAGAATGTTTCGTCAAAAGAACGTCTCTTCTCCGTTGAATCGCTTCATCGTATCGCAGCAGCAAAGTCCGCTGAACAATCAATAAAAATTCCTGCACAAACCTCCACTCCAAAGCGTACTGACGGCGATATATATAATTCATTTGAACAGGAACGAAAGCAACCAGCAAGAAGATCACATGAAAAAGAAGTAACACCTCTGGTAAAACAAACATCATTAAACGCAGCAACATCTGAAAATGTAAATTATTCAACGTGAAGACGTCACTTGTTCAAATATTGTCTTTTTTTCTCAATTTAGAAATATATGAATGATGATGCAATAAGTTTCAATCAATCATCGCAACGACCTCGACAGTATGAACATCGAAATAGTCTTCTACCAAATGATCCCGGCTTGAACGGAGCTGGTAGTAATCAGAATATTTTCCGACAGAATTCAAATGAATCTGACGAGAGTGATAATCTTTCCCAGTATTTTCTATCGCCATCAAGTCGAAAAAATAGTCTTCTACCAAACAATGGCACGACAACGACAGATTTCCCTCACGAGCACAAATCAAGTGTTACATCGACTGATAGTGCAGTTGCAACAGATGCGTCACGTCGTTTACAACAATTCATCCGAACGTCGGAAGACATTCGACAACCCAGAAGCTCAATCGGTGATGCGTCAATGGCTTTCAAGAAACCCGAAGGAAGAAAATCATCGTCGACGGCATTTGGCTCGTTCAAGTTCTCGAAGAAAAAGAAAGATTCCCCGGATACACCGAATCTAGTATGTTCGAAAGCAAATGACATGACAAGGAAATACTAATTTTCTTCTCTTGTGAATTTTAGTCGACTGAATTACGTGAAACTGATTATGTAGGTGATATTGAACTACAGATTGGACATAGCAGCGAACGTGAACAGTTGGTTGTGCAAGTTATTCAAGCCAAGAATTTGCCTGCCAAAGATACAAATGGCTATTCGGATCCATTTGTCAAAGTCTATTTACTCCCCGGAAGAGAGTAAGTATCGACATATATTATAGTTGACAGCAGGAAGGAAATTTATCTTCCTTGTTAATGAAAATATATAAAACCGATAATCATATATGCATCCTTTTTCTTAGTCAAGAGAACAAACGTCGAACGAAACATGTTCCGAAAAATCTAAATCCTGTTTGGGATCATACAGTCGTTTATGGAAACATGCATCGAGAAGAATTGCAGTATAAAATGTTGGAATTCACCGTTTGGGATTACGATCGTTTCAAAGCGAATGATTTCATCGGACAAGTCACTATTGATCTCAAAGGTAATACCAAATAAGACTCGGTCGTTTCTTCTGAACTTCTCTTTTTTCAGACGCAAGAGTCATTGATGATAAACCACACTGGTATCGTTTGCAAGCATTGCGTTCACGAGAAGAAATCTCCAATCGTGGCTCGTCGCCACGTTTATTCAAGATGACATCGACTGATTCAGCTGCATCGTCATCATCCGTATTTACAAAAAACAATGTTAACGCACAAGCTCAGAGCGGTCAACGGAAATAGTCATGAAGAGTCTATTTTGTTCGTGGTTTCTCTTTTCTTATTTTTCTAACGGGCTTTATTTATGTGTATATTACTCTACTCAGATATGAACATTGAAACACATGTCAAAGTTTATTTCGAAAACACATCCAGATTTCTCGTTTTTTATGTTATAAAAAAAATGATAACTGATGAGATAAACCAGTCGATTTGACATGTCAATAGATTTTCGAGATACAAACACATTGTTACACATCTTGTTGTCCAAAAACTTTTTAAATAAATAACATTCAATGTTAAAGCCAAAAAAAACCTCTTCATTCTACAGCTTCATTAAAGCGAGTTCTCGACCATTTCTGACTTTTCTGAGTGGATTTTACGATGCTCCTTGAGTTAAAAGGCAAGTGAACTGAATAGGTGAGTATTTATTCTGAAGACAAATGGGAAAGGGAACTTGTCAGGTTTTGTCTTTTGTATTAGTTTCTAAATATAAGTTTCGAGTGGATTATTAGTCATGAAACAAAGATGGAGATTTCTATACGGATTTGTTAGAGCATGAATGAGTCTAATCAGTTGCGAAGTGGTTACCAATTTTCTTTCATCCAGCGAGTTTTCTGAATCAACAGATTTCCGCTTGAAGATGAATGGTTTTGATAGAAATAAAACAGCGTAACTAATCATTTCATATGAAAACAGTTTGAATAATCTGATTCAGTTAGAATGAAAAGATAAAGAAATGAAGTTACAATTGCCTTATAAGTGTATTGTGCAAATCTTTCACCACGGTCTTCTGATTTTCCGATAGGTGTCGCTGGTTAACAAGCGTTAATGAATGAAAAATCCTGTATTTCGAATTTTTATTCTTAATTAACTCATTTACTGAATTTTCTGAAGAAGGATTTTTAGGAAACTGTCGTCTTGAGAAAATCGATCGATCCTAGACAGAGAAAAATCACATCGATCGATCATGGTAGGTAAATGAATCATTGGTGTCGTTATTATTGACAAAAGCGAATACCTATCAATATTTGATGTTTTTTTTCTAGGACACGTGATATTTATTACTTCTCTAATCAAAATTGTTCAATAATCTGTTCTGTTATCTGAGAAATGCTCTTGATTTTCTTTCCTATCTCGTTTACATGAACGAAAATTTTCGCTCCGTTTCCTTTTTTCATTTCTAACTGAATATATTTCACATCGAATGTCCCTTTGCCGTCGGCCTATTCGTCGAATAGCCTTAGCAGCAAAAACTGGTTCATTTATTAATAAAACCATTCGAGCAAGTTTCAGTCAACAAAATATTTATACACAATTAGAACCAACATATTTCGTAAGTCATTAGAAACGTTCATTTCTTACTTTCACGTGTGTAATCTACAATGACCTTGATTAAACAATCGTTGAGAAGAACATAACTTGTTACGTTCGTATGTGCACGCATGGTCAATATAGTGAAATTCCGCATACATAATTGTGGTTCTAATTCGATTGCTTCTCGTTTCAATTTGTCATTGAAGGTTTCAATCGTTATTGTTTTTAGAGTAGTGAAAAATTTATGACGAACAATTCGTCACCAGCTTCTCAGAAGAAACTTTGCGTTCTCGAGAATTCGATGAGATATTCAGAGGAACAAGTAAGATAAGCTCTACGAAGAACGATTCTCACGAATCATATCTAATGCTTTCCATGCGCTACGCTTCTTTTTTTTTTCATTATCATTTTCTTTTGACGAGTTAAATACACCTATGACGAACCCTCGGATAATTCGACAGCAGCCTTCGAACTGACAGGTTGGGTGTTTAATATACTTACTCGAAGTCAACTATCTCGAAGATATGTTCTGTGATGATGATGAAAGAGAGGGGACCGAGCTCTACACTGATAAGAGAAAAATGTCTTTTTCTTTCTAACACTAGAGTGATAAAATAAACGAATATTATTGACGTCAGAATAAGTCCCATTAGTCTTCATGTCAACAATCTCGTTCGCTACTTATCTATCACACGTTCTTCGTATGTAATCTCCGTCATTGATGCATATCAATTCCTTCGATTCAAGTGTTCATTCCTACGGTTTGCAAGACAGTGCACTAGCGAGGAGATTACATCCACCGATTTCCTTGCCAATGTATCGTTCGTGGTCACCACATAGTCGTCGTCGATCATCATCCGTTGGACGAACCATGCAGATTTCCTTAGATAGCAAAGCAGTTGTACATAAACTCGTATTAGATGTTCGTAGAACATTACATAAACATCATTCACCTGCTAAGCAATCTCATACTAACGAGGTAGATGGTCATGCATGTTCGCTATGTTTTAACGATGATTTTCTTTTGTCTGCTAAAGAATTTATACATTCAATTTTTGTGTAGACTAACCAAGAACCTCAACTGATTGGCGAAGAACAACAAGATGATGCTATTTTCAAAATCTTTCTGAAACGTGTTCGACATAAATCAAATCACGCACTTGATGATGCCAGTCACAATGAGGTTTGCTGATAGATCATTGAACAGCAAACCTAACTCGATCGTTTCTTTGATTTCTCTAGAGCAAAACATCCGGTGATACTCACACAACCGACCAGGGAACGTTACTTTACTCAACAATAAAAATCTATCAATTAAAAGCTGGTACACTTGAAAAACTTATCGAATATTTAACCCACGATGATGGTGAATTGGATACGACACATATGCACATCTTATTTTCAACCTATCGAACATTTACGAATACGCGGGAGTTAATCGATACGATCATTACTCGATATCAAACTGTTCTTCCAGCTTCATTGGACATGACTGAAGATGTTCGACGGAAGACTCTTAAGTAAATATATTCATTAATGTTTCGTGAAACATACTTCTGTTTTCTTTTATCTCAGGAGTCTTCGGGCAGCAATCATATGTCTGCTGAATACGTACAAAGAAGACTTTGTTGAACCGCCGTACTATTCTACGTTGAATCACTTGATGTCACAATTACCAGACGAAGACGTACGAATTCACAGTCATACTTTACTGGAGCAATTGAAAAATGAAGAAGATCATCAGACATCCGATATCGATAATAATAATAATAATAATAATTCAAAGAAGAATTATTTAAGTTATCAAAAAGGTTTTGACTATTTAATCCCATGGAATCTACTTGAAATTTCAAGTACAATCATTGCTGAACAATTGACACTAGTCGATGCTGTATGTTTCGTTGTTGATTTACGTAAATGATTTCGAAAGCTTTCGCTTTTTTAGGATTTATTGAAACGAGTTTTACCGTACGAATGCTTATCAATTTCGACAAATAGTTGTTCACGTCGATCACCGAACAATTCCAATCGATCGTTATCAACTGTTGACAAAACGATAGAATTCTTCAATTCTATTGTCAATCGAGTCGTTGCCACTATACTCAAAGAAAAAGACGAGCAAACTCGAGCAAATGTCATTGAAAAATGGATCGATGTCGCACACGAATGTCGAAGGCTGAGAAGCTTTTCTTCATTAACAGCGATTTTGAATGGATTATTGTCTGGTTGTATCTATCGGCTAAACACTGCATGGTCTCATGTTACCGAAGATCATTGGTCAATCCTAGAAGAATTGAAAAATGTTTTTGGAAGTTGTGCAGATAAAAAACAAGCGCGAGCTATACTCGATAAGGTAAGTTCATTGGCAATGCAATCCAGACTCTCAGTTTCACATATTCTTATAAAATTAGATCAGATATACATATTAGAAAACTAATCATTTCTTCTTTCAGCAATTAGACGAACTACGTCTCGCTCTACCTGAATACACTGTAGGTTTGAAATTTTCTTTTCTGAAAACGTTGTTTTCTATTTTGCACGCTATTTTATTTGTTTGCTTGTACATACATACCTTATCTTAGTATTTTGTTACCCGTTTACTGTAGAGAAAAAAAACTCCCACAACTTAGAATCTGGTGAAATGTGTAGCATGCATAATATCTAGATTATTCTGCTCTTTTATCATAACACAACATTCATCGAATTTCATTTGCTTAGTGGAAGTTCTTGTTTTGTAGGAAGGTACGGCGAAGCATGTGGACATAAATACGGCTATCAATGCAACGCTTGGAAAAAAATTTCGTCATAAAGCGTCGCGTGATCAATCGAAACCGGTAGTGTTTTCATTTGCTTTGAGAAAAGATCAATTGAACTGCTTTTTCACATAGGCTGTGGTTGGTACTGTGCCGTATTTAGGCATTTATCTCAGTGATTTGACATACATCGACTCGGCGTATCCAAATACTATAAACAACGAAAAAACTGATGGGTCGCCGGCCAAGAAACTAATTCATTTTGAAAAACATCGAAAACAATTTGAAGTCCTTGCTCAGATCAAGTTATTTCAGTCCGCTGCTAACGCATATACAGATCTTCGGTCATTACCACGGTTCAAAGCATGGTTTGACAATGTTCGAACGTATACAGATACTGAAAGGTAGAGGATAACGTTCTTTTTTGTGAATCATAGAATATCATTTGATGAATTTTTGTCTAGTTGGGATATATCGTATCGAATCGAACCTAAAGAAGCACCCGATAGTTGTCCACCTCAAGAACAATTTTGCAAAACCTACGGAGGTCAACCACTTCGAGCGTATGCCATTCTGTACTTTGACAATTAAATATTAATTTCGAATATTTTTCGACTTGTTAGTCTTGTTCCACGATTTCCATCTGAAGTATCACTGGACTCCTTGGGCACATCGAATAATGCAAGTGGTGGAAATACAGAATCGACAATCATCTCGAATGGTTCATTACGCTCATCGCCATCATCAACATCGTTAGACAAAATGAGCATCACATCAAATAACTCCCTTCGTCAACATCAGCTAATCAAAAATATGCCGGTAAATAAAACTCTGATTGTGTTTTTCCTTTCATTCTATGCGATCATTTCAGACTCCCCGTGTAAATCATTCACGATCTTCGTCGGTTTCGAGCTTATTAACATCGTCAAATGGTAGTACAAGTCAGGGATATGGATCAGCTACAGCTTCACCAACTATAAGTACCAATACAGGTCTTTCCAATTCTACCGAAAGTGAATCAGTCATCGCTAAGATTCAATTCGCTGGCAAAGATGATTTGCTATACAAAAAAGTTCGCGTAAGTGAAATTTACTCAGACACGAAGTTGCAGGTTTTACCTCGTTAGAGATTCTCATTAGTCACAATCTCTCAACTATGAAACACTTGGAGAGAAGCGGTGTGGTTCGCACTGAGGCGAAGGAAAACAGCTTGAGCAGTGTATAAACTTGATTGTTAACTCCTTAGTTATAATGAATACTAGTGCGAAGAGAAATCTCCACGGAAATGATTTTTTTTGTTACTCGGAAATGTCGATTTACTTGAGCACCAAGTGCTTTTCAACTGAAAATCTAATCAACGTTTTATATTTAGATAAAAAATGACGAACGAACAACCAGTGTATTGAAAACTATTTTGGAAAAATTCGGTTTGGATCCATCGAGTTATGATCGATACTGTATTGAACAAAGATTACCTGGTCGAAGTAACTTATTCTCCTCAGTTGTAGTCTTATCGAAAATCTAATCATTTGCTTTCTTGTTTAGAAATTCTCATTCTCGATCATTGCAATGTTTTCTATGCATTAGCTCGTCCGTCCAATAATGAACAAGTCGAGCTCGTCGTTCGAGAGAAAACTCGACAAGAACGTGAACAGAAAAGTAATGGTCTTCCAGATGGTGCTGGTCACAATCGCACACCGAGTGGACTAAGTATATCGTCTACTCATAGTCGCTAAACAAACATAATCAAAAAATGAAAGAAATCTACTTATTTTGTATATAAGATTAACCTTCTGAAATCCTTTTTTTCTACTGCGCTACAGTGAGCCATGAAACATGATACATGTCGATATGTGGTCGTGTTTGGAAATATTTTTTGTTCGCTCGGTCGAATCTCTTTTTACTATGCTAACTTCTTTTTTTTTCTTCTTCTGCTGGTCTTTTTTTATACCGATAATACTTTCATTCCATATTTTGTGAACAAATACAGAGCTACTTTTTATTTCTATATATATTTATGTGTGTATGATTTTAGCTATCGAATACTTCTTTTTTTTTGTATGAGGGTTAATAGACTTTGTTACATATATATTTTTGTTCCTCTTTTTAATCTCTGGAATGCGTTTGTTGAAAAGAAAAGAAGAGGATTTAGAATCATCCATTCATTGGTAAGACAAAATAAAGAAAGAGAAAGAAAAAGAAGGGCAACTATTTTTTGTTCTGCTATCATGCGAAATAAACAACGAAGGAAAAAAGAAGAAAAAGAGTATAGAGCGGGTGGCCTAGCCTTGTCGATCTGTCAGCATACAGAAAGAGATAAGAAGACATTTAACACTCGAAATTGTGCTTCTGGTATTTGCGACGAAGTATTTTTTCTTGCAAAAAGACAAAAGAAGGGGAAGAATAAGACGTGGAAGGGACACATTCATCTATCGGGTATGTTTAATAATCGTCTTGAATTTGATGAAACGCAGTGATATTACTCGACAACAATCACGAGATGTCAATGAGTACGAAATGAGTTTCATTGTTGAGAAAAAAAAACAAATTTTGTATAAGATCTGTGAAAAAGTATTTTTATTATCTTGTATAGTATATCGTGCATTATTGTGATTAGGTAACTGACAATTCACCTCTGCATTTTATTCACGTGTTTTGTTTACGCATGGTGTTGTACATAAGCTTTCCTCTGGCTAAAAATCTATTCTTCACTTTGCTTTTCGTTTAGTTCGAAAGGACGAAAAAACATGTCTACTAGTAGTCAGGCACAGAAATCTACATCAAGAAAAGCTACCAGTGCATCAGTGGACACTGATTCTGCACATCAATTATCAGTTCACTCTCGACAAGGTCGAAATAAATTGCTCTCGGAATCGATTTTACCATTACTTTTATGTCTTGCATGTCCGTTTCTCGTTCGATCGATTGTATTCATCTGTACACATTGCCATGGATCTATTTCTGAATTCTTCCAACGTCTCTTATTCAGTCAAACGGTGACCTTAAAAGACATCTTAGAAGATTTTTTCTATTTCGAATGGCATTGGCCATCGGGAATCATCATAATCAGTTTCTTAATCTATGCTGTTGTTATGACCATTATCTTACCTGGAAAAGAATATAAAGGTCCGGTAACAGATACAGGACATGTGCCTGTCTATCGAGACAATGGTTTTTGTTATTACATTGTTTCGTTAATTCTATTTGCAAGCTTAACATTTCTGTTGAAATTGAATCATCTCTCTCCAACGTATATTTATGATCATTGGGAGGAGTTCTTATCGACTGTCAGCACATTTGCTTTTCTATTATGTTTTCTTGTTATGTTGAAAGGCAAATATATACCATCGACAAACGATCATCGATCGTCATCAAATTGGCTGACAGATTTTTATCGTGGTGTCGAATTGTATCCACGAATATTTAATGTCGACATTAAACTTATTACTAATTGCCGTTATGGCATGTTGGCTTGGGCATTATTAACAGTGATTTTCTGTATGAAAACGTTTGAGTTATATGGCTTTACAGATAGTGCTTTTATAACATGTGTTTTAACACTTGTGTATCTAACGAAATTTTTCTGGTGGGAGTCGGGTAAGTTCGAGATTTTTGTATCATTGCTCACAAGAAGTGCATTTTTGTTTTCTGGATAGGTTATATGAAAACCATGGACATTATTGTTGATCGTGCTGGATTTTACCTTTGCTGGGGTTGTCTCGTATGGGTATCTGGTATTTATACACTTCCATCTTACTTTCTCGTCACACATCCCAATCAGCTCGGTTGGACATCAACGGCAATCGTATTGACATTAGGTCTTGTCTCAATCTATATTAACTATGATTGCGATCGACAAAAAATACAAGTTCGATCAACGCAAGGTAAATGTTCAGTGTGGGGCAAACCAGCGAGAACAATCCAAGCCAAATATCGTCTATTGAACGGTAAAGAACATGAAAGTACATTATTAGCTTCGGGTTATTGGGCGATTTCAAGACATTTTCATTACATACCGGAATTAACCTTAGCCTTTCTTTGGACATATCCATGCGGTCTACAACATATCTTACCATATTTTTATGCTATTATTCTATTTATATTGCTAATGCACCGTGCACATCGAGATGATCAAAAGTGTCGACTAAAATACGGCCTTGCCTGGGATAAATACTGTCGTCTAGTGCCATATAAAGTATGGCCGGGAATATATTAATTTGTGCTTGTGAAAACGAACACATCTTTTTTTTCGTCAAGATTTCTTTTTCTTTGTAAAACTAGCAACACAGAATATCATCAGCTATATAATAGACACTTTACGATTATATTGACTAAAAATAAACAAATTGAGATTATTTTGTATATCGGTATAAGTTCAGTTAACGTAAGACACATATGTTATCGAAATTGGTTGCGTGCGACTTAGTGGTCTCTATTGATCAGTTGTTATATTCTCTGTATAACATTTGAATTATTTGACCAATACCAATGTGCTCTGTTTATTTCTCTTTTCTTTTCGTATCTGTCTATTTGTTTGTATTTTCTCGTTTAGCATTCAAAAGGAAGTTTGATTTAATCTGAAAGATTTCTCAGAAAAAGAGTGCAAAAAATACCAGTTAAATTTGAACGTAAACATGCTTTTCCATTAACATTAGCACCGATAGTATTAACTCATGATCTTTTTAAGTTCATCTATATACAGTAAGCAAAGTAGAAAATTCTAAAACTATTCGGGTTGCACCTAATCGTGAATACGAGTAACAACTAGGCTTAACAGATTATGCTCAAGTACACGGCCGAGTGAACCTGTGAAAAAGTGTTCAAAATGGATCTTCCCATCAGAAGAGAAGCACTGGAGATCGGTGTGAAGCTAACACATCGATTAACCAACGTTCGTTTTTCTCTTTTATCTATTTATTTATTTGTATTTCCTCATCGAAAAGAAAAAGAAATTTTATTTACGGTAAGTTCTTCTCCACTAATTTTACATTTGAGAGGATTGGGTGGGACTGATAATGATAATAATAACGGCGCTCGTAGACGAGCCAGATCGGTATGGACGATAAATAGGCGATTTTTCAAGCGATTGTAAAGAGAAATATCAAATGCGTGACGCTGTGCTTCCTTGTAAAATTTCCGCAGAAATATCCGATCGGTCATAGTCGTATATTCGAAATCAGCACGGGTCATCAAATGAAATGAATATAAGGCAATCGCCGTACCAAATGCAAGAAAATACGACATTGGTTCCACAATATCCCAAGAATATACATCCCATGTGAGTTCAGCAAGAATACCGACTTGAACCGACATACCCGCCAAGCCGTACCACACACAACGAGATATATGACGTTGACATATTTGAGCAAGTTTGTCTTTGACCTAAGATAGGAAAGGAAACAAGCTTCATTTGAATAATAACACTTTTTCTCTTCGACAAGATTAAATTCTCATCAGCGAGATAACGTATGGCATATATAATTTCTTAATTACGAGAAAAATCGAGTTGCTGATCAACTTACTTTTTCCAATGGTTCTAACTGAGTAGTCAATTCATTTGCTTCGGCTTTCAATTCATGATATTTGCGATGGTATACTTTCATGACATTCAAGGCATTATAAACCGCCCCGATTGTATCTTCCGTTGATGGGCCATCAGTTCGATTTGATCTTATTAGATTCTCCTTGATTTGTAATTTATTGATTGGATCAAAAAGAAATGCACGTTGTTTATTCAATTGTATCGTAAATGGAGAACTCATTAACGACTGAATGGCGTAAGATTTCGCCAGTAATTGACCATTATTATCAAATATATGTACATGTTCAATGCCAGCATCTTCGGATTTAATCTCATCAACCAATTGACCCACAGTCGTTGTTTGCAAATTTAAATGAAAGCGACATGTTTCCTGTCGTGATGGAAGTACTAATGACAAAATTAATATACTGTCAGCGAAGGCTAATGAAGATTCTAGAATGATTAAGACTAATTTTAATTTTGTTTTCGTTTTCCGAGATTTGACTACCTGAGATATTCACTTGCGAGAGGCAGCGAACTAACGTATTCGGTACTAGCAACTTCGCGCTAGTCAGTGTATGTAAAAACGAAGAAAAGGCCATGTTGTTGTGTTTGAAAATCGAATAATTAACGAATATAATGAGAATATGACATACTTATTTGTATATTCATATCATACTGAGTAGTAAACATTGCTAGCATGCGAGGTTATTTACGTTTTTACTATAAAACCGAATACTTTGCTTTGATTGAATATCGTTCTTTTTCTCCTACACTTACTTTTTCAATCGAGCAATATTATAGTAATAACAGTCGTTGAGAAAGAATGCAAGCACATGCACAAAGTCATAGAACGACAAATAAAAATAAAAGAGAAAACAGAATCCCTTGTCCCATTTGCTTTCTCTCTCTCTCTGTCTCTGCCTCTCTCTTTTACTCGTCTTCGTGAAGTTTGCGTCAACACGACTGTTATGAATTTGTTTTTCGCTTCAAATGATGACTGTAACTGACACACAGAAATACCATCCGTGCGTCGATGTCGCATACATCATTGATGTCGGTCCTATATCGTTCCGAAATAAATCAACTTTCTTCTCATCGGCACAGTTGTCTATCTAAATGAGGATGTTATCTGCAAGAGAAACGAATGCTTCTATTTTTAACCTCCACCAAAAAAAAAGAGATTAACGAAGATAATTATCACGTAGAAACGGATGTAAGGTTTTTTTTATCGTTGATTTATTTCTGAACAATAGGAAAGAAACTGACGTGAAATTGAGATTATTGATATTTATAGTATTTATCTCTTTCTATGAATAGCTCATAAGACATGAATACTCACAAATATAATTCGATTTAAGCAACTGTGCGGAATAATATGACGCAAGAGATAAGAAAATAGATTGATCAAGCGACTTTCTACTTCTTCGTGCATTCTACTGAATTAATCAACATAATTTCAATTAGGATTACAATATCTGTCAAGGACAATGGAATACTTTTTTTTATTAATGCAGATTATTTAGAATAATTCTGTCGTATTCTCGAATCCTCATATAACAATCGATCTCGGTTAGTACGTGTAATTTGCATGTATTCTTCCGGCTGACAGATGATTAGTTTGATTCAAAGGCAAGTGTGCTTGTCCTCTATGAAATACGATTAATGTCGACGGAAAGAAGCAATAACGCTCGACAGAAAGTTTTTCTTCACACATTCGAATCATTGGATTTTATTCCATTAACTTTATTTTGTGCGAACAACGATGATTTCCAGATGGTATACACATTTATTTGTTAGATGTAATTTCACTGATTAATTTAGCAATCACTTGAGACATACTCGCGAGAATTTGAAAAAAGTAAGGAGAAGTTCTTGATTTTGGTCAATAAACACACATTCTATTATGTAAATGTATTCGTATTAATGAATAAACGATTTATTTTATCACTCTAGATATATATATGTACACATACAGAGACATAGATAGATTTAAGACAAATGTCAAAATGAATACAAAATAAAAGAAAACTTCATAGATCAGTCTAGATTAGATAAGGGTTCATCACTTTGTTGTTGTTGATTGGTATTATTATTTTCATATGTGGAATCAAAGTTATCCATGCCTGATGAGCTTGAACCAAGTACGTTGGCGTACGGTAGAAGGACATTCGCTGGTTGGTGACTACTTGTGTCAATAACTAATTGCGCCTAGAAGACCGACGACAGTCAAAACGATATTTAATTGATTTCGTATAATGAAAAACACGGTACCTGTGGAGACGAATCATCATCGCCGTCATCGTACATGCCGGGTGGTGTTGTTGTACGAGATGTTGATGATGACGGCATGGAGAAGTTCATTCCAGAACGTTGTTCGTTAAGACCTGGTAAATCTGCTGAAGGAATATAGAGCATATCTGTTGAAGAGTTTTCATTTGATGGCGGTTTTTTAAGAATTGATCTAGGTTGTTGAGAGAAATTTGGTAGTGATGCATTGTGGCCACCCGTATAGGCTGCTACATTCGGAGGTGTGATAGGTGTTCGACCACGTGACGGTTGTTGCTGTGACCACGAAGAACGCGGCCGTGCTTGGTGAAAACGGGATGGTTGCTGAGTCGGCGGTGATTGCCAACTACCGATCTGAGATGGTGGAGGCGGTGGGGGACGAACTGCTGAATATAGTTTATATTGATTTTATTGATTGTTTTATGAATATATTACCTGGTGTTGGTAACAACGGAGTTTTTGATAGGCCAGGACTTGAATCTGAAGAGCGGATGAGAGTATGTAGTAGTCTCTTATTTCAAATGAAAAGAATCACATACTGTTACTGATAGTACCAGGTTCGGTCTTAGACTTTGCAGTCACTTCTTGTGATGATGACTTTCTTGGAATACGAAATTGTGGCGGTGGTGGTGCTGCTGTTGTGGCAGCCGCTATTGGGTTGCTGATCGTTGCTGCGGATGGACTTGTAAGTTTAGAGGCAAGAAGCGGTGGCGACGCCACATGTGGTTTATTTATATTCGCACCGGAAGGCATAGAACGAGCGCGGTGCTTCAATACTTCTTTTACCGAAGGCGATATAGTATTTGATGCTCCTGCTGTCGGTGTTGGCGCAGTAGCAGATGATGAAGAGGATTGATCTTGTCCGGAGTAAACTTTACTTCGTTGAATTTTCAAAACAATAGGTGGTTGGGGCGGAACTGATCGTGGCTGTGAGGATGCTGACGATGAGAGAGAGGATGTTGAGGATGGATTTGACAGAGACGATGATGGACGTGGTCGTTCACTACAGATACACAACAAATGAATTAGTTCGGATCAGTTTGCATGCGTTAAACTATGCAAAAGAAATGTATTACCGTGGTGACTGTTGTATACCATCTGTCAATGCCATCATTGCACTGGAATCTGAATTCATTTGTGACATGTCAAGACTTTCGCTTTTGATTAACACAGATGGTGATGCACCGCTAGTTGCATTATTCGACGGCAGTTTTCTTATTGTCGATGACATCGATCCGCCAGGATTGCTGAGAGATTGCTGTTGTAATTGTTTCTTTCGTTGTTTTATTGATTGTTGTTGCTGAGATTCATCATTGGATGAATTACCGCCGTCGCCGACACGTTTTATGACAACTTTCAATGGTTTCAATTCGTTGGATGTATCGTCTGGTGATGTGATCGATTGTTGTGTGAGTAACGTTCCTGATGGAACGTCCGTTACTTTGAATGCTGACTTTTGTCGAGCAAGTTGATGTTGTTGTTGAATATTTTTGTCTCCTGGCTTTTTCCCACGCTTAGCACTGTTAGGATCACCACCCGACGATGTCAATTTCGTTGCATGCTGCATCGGTAATCGATTATCTAGATGACGCGAAATATTATTTGTTGTATCATCAATTGATCATCGTTCTTATACGATATGTGCAAATGCTTACCATTAGGATTATTGCTCAATGTTTGAATGAAATCGTCATTGGATTGTTCCGATCTTCTTCGTTTCTTCTTTTGTTGTCCTTTATTGTTCTGATCAGCCGATGACATGACATTGGATGAGGTATTTCCACTGGCAGGTAGGAACGCTGATGGATCAAATGTTCCCATCGTAATAGGCGAACTAACTGGACTATATTCTGGTACAGAGACTTGCTTTCCCAACGGGAAGAAGACATTTCCATTTGGATTAGTTGATCCGCCTGGATAGGGAGTTGATGGTGACAATCCAAATATTGGCGGCGTAGAAACCGATTGAGTTGATGAAACTGATCCACAGCGACTTAATACCGATGGATGGAAACTCAATGATGGTTTAGGTAGTAACTGTTGAGGATAATGATGTGGAAATGTTTGGTGTTGCTGAGAGTTAGGTGATTTGACAAAGGGATCATCATCATCATCGGGAAGATCTTCGGATAGTATATTATTTTCTTGATAATCTTCAGCAGGTAAGTTGTCACCGACTTTCTCCGGAATACTATCGATTGATGCTAACGTTAAACAAGCAGGTTGGTTTCGACGTAGTGTCGTTGCTCGTCGCCATATAGGTTTTGCAGGTGGACCACATGACAAACGTCGGTTCAATTTCGGTATTGCAGCTGATTGAGTCACTTGTTCCGGAAATATATTTGTTTGTTTTACATCAACATCTGTTGTCGTTGAATATGGATTCGCATTATCTTCTTTGAGAAGTTGCGGAATCATTTTCACCAAAGACTGTCGATCTTCAGTTAAATAAATTTCTTTGTCTTGTGCACGATTGACTAACAATGGTAACGCGTTCCTATTTGACATATGAAGCAAAAATGTAGCTAAATGGTAAGATTGCGCACAGGTTATCGAGAGAACAGTTGAAGATAGAAATGATAATTCGAGTGAAATATCTTCACTATCGTCATCCATATGATCCTGATCGTATTCATGATTGAAATAGTAATCTAAATATTTCGTCAGATACATTTGCTGATGAATCAAGTTTAGGATATGTAGGAATTGTTTAACACTGGTGAATGGAATTTGTTTAATGGACATTGCTGATTGGTCATGAGAAATGTACCATTGATACGGTGACATCGACTTCGATTTTCGTAACAAAGTGGAAAGATAGTTGAACGTTTCGGAAGTAGATGGAAAGGTTGTGATATTCGTTAGACGATTGATTTCTTGAATGTATGGTAAAAGAAATTTGAGTGAGGGCTGGCTGGAATCAAATTCCAAAGCAAAGTGGCCTGTTGCAGAAAGGCTAGATTTGAGAGATGCATCAAAATGAACAGTATTCGTTTTTTCATCAATATGAATATTGGATTTAATTGGTAAATAATGTTGCGTTGCACTGGGAACTAATATGATCCGAACAGATTTCGGTAATGAAGAATTACCAATGACTAATTGAACAAAATGAAACTATTCGCTGTTTGAATGCTAATCAAATTAGTTAACTTACATTGGTCATCGAATTGGATTCTCATTGGAAGACCTTCACACATCGGTTGAAAACCTTCTAATAATTTCGCATACGTTTCGATTTTACTTAGACGTTCTAAATCTTGTTGGAATACGGTATAAGCCGTATGACCGATCCTCTTGTCATTGTTCATCATTGGTGCAGTTAGTGTAAATAGACTTGCGTAACCATTTAGATGTTCACGAAATAATTTATATTGCTTTTCATTTAAGGCTTTTAACATACGAGAACAGAGGAAACGTTCTTCATTCGATTGCTGATCATTGGTAAATGCGATGGAAATTTTCACTGGTAATCGGGTCGATGGATCGAAAGTCACTTCTAGATAGAACTGTTCCGAATGAAGATAAACATTTCCATTGTCATGTTGATAAGTTTTCAATTGGCAATATTCAGCTGCTAATTCTAATTGTTCAGTGATTTGCTTCATTGTTAGCGTTGGCGACGACGAATTGATATCGTACATATGGTGAAGAAGTTTATCATAGCATGCGCGAATCAATTGAGAGCCTGATTGACCATCTTGTTGTTGGCTAGGTGGTGCGAATGGTAGCCGCTGTAAATCATTCCATCCGGGTGGTTGCGACAGATACAAACGTTCCATAGATGCATTACTCAACATAATTATAGACGTTGTTGCCATTGTAATTTACTTCTTTATCTACAAAGATAAAATCATAATTCGTTTCGGCAGAAGATTGTAGCGAGAACTGAAAACGAATGATCTTATCTATTTAGTACTTTCAACTTTCCAAGTGTAGTGAGAGTTAGCCTTTTAAAGGTCTCTGCATCCGATTTCTTCAATACATGTGACTGATGTGCTAATGAATTCATACAAGTATCTTCTCGATCAGAAAAGAATAGGGAAGATCGATTATTCAAAGGTGAACTAATTTGAATTAGTAAGATACAGATACACCATCATTGTCTTCAAGGTGTGCTGGGAATAACGAAAGGAAAAAAACACAAAACTTGACCGTATTCTTGTGTTCTTCCTTATTTTTTTTCTTCTTCTTCTGTCATAACATAAATCATATCGAGCAAATAAGAAACGTCTACTTAGATGGCGTTAGTTACCGCGAATAAAATAATGTAAACAATGCAATTCGTTACACTCACAGATCATATACGTATTTTCAACTTTTCACTCATCAATATTCAAATAGCAAACGAAAGACAATTCATTAAAGCAGTGTTTCTGTTCATGTCTCAACTGTAGACTTGTTTTTATAGATATCGAGTGAGTGCTGCATTCATGAACTATCAAAATAATATCCGATACTTCAATATTTGTCGTTATCCAAGACATTCAAAGACTTAGGAGAGATACAGACAGTCCATCGATGTATACTTTAGCATAGTTACAGACAGTGACATCGTTGTAGATAAATTTTTATGCTCAAAATAAAATTAAAATGAAAGAATGGAAACTATCTTGAATCAAATTTTTAATAAAAATGAAATAGAATGCGAAAATGTGTCTGTACATTTAATCGATGAAAATAAATAACATGAAAAGGAAAAATCTATGACAGTTAAAGTTTTTATTGATGAATGACGCGTTTTATGTTTTCAGCTTAATCAGAACGATCACCACGACGAGAATTGCGATGACGAGAAAAACTGCCAGAAGACAACAGAGTTTCTTTCGATATTTTTTCTAAGAAAAAAAAGCAAAAAGATCGAAATGAATGTATAGATAATCATCAAGAAGAAAGTTTCAATCTACTTGATACTTTGCAGCACTGGTCAATCGATCATTGCCAGCAATGATATGATCGTTGGCTGCAATGATTGTCTGTTCAACGTTAGCAATAATAGGTGATTGTTCAGAAACAATCGCACCAATGTCACGCATAATATGATTGATCTCAATGATATCAGTCTAAAATAGAAAAGATGCCATTAATTGACCAATAGTCTTTGAAAGGTCTTAGTATTTACTTGGACAGTTTGTACTTGTTCTTCAATAGCGAACTGTTCTTCATTTTGTCGAATTAATAAATCGTTATTCATTTGCATTTGTCGTCTAGAACATTCAAATGTAAGTTAAAAAAACTCAGGCCTTTCCTTATGTACTGTAATTGTAATCGTTGACGAACGTCCTCTTCCGTCAAAGCCTAAATTACATACAATATTAACTTCAACGCGTATCTTTTGTTATACATTACATTATTTCCAAAATCAATTAAGGTATCTTGATTAGGATTGGGTACCTGTTGGCGTCTTTTGCTAACATCCTATATTCAATTGGCGATATTGCACACAAAATCCTGCGGAAACCAGTATTAGCTTACAGTTACAACGTCTCCATAATGTTTCAATGCACTGTTCATTGCAGATTTAACCTTGTTTATCATTTCCAAATCATTCTATGAAGAAGGTGAAGCAATCGTAGAGGAAATCTCGTAATCAATCAAGAAAAGACGTACTCTTTGTAAATCTTTCTTTCTCTTGGTCATTTCATCTGCTAATTCTTTCAAGATAGATTTTGTTTTCGTAGCAAGAGCGTGTAAGCGTTGTTCGTCTTCATCTCTAACAGAACAAAAACCGGTCATAGACATCTGTCGTCCTATGCCACAAATGAATTTACAAGCGTTGACGAACTTCAACTGTGTCCGATGCCGTTCCGAGTACTCGTGCTTTCTCAGATAGATTTTTGACTAAAAACAGGCGAAAAATAAAATGATGTCAACTGTACAAATGTGATGTTCACCTTGGGTTTCAATGGATTGAGCATGTCTGGTCCATGTATCGATGAGTTCATGGAAATGTGTATAAGCTATACAAAAGATAGAGAAAACACAAAATTTAGGCAAGAAATGTGCTTCTAACTCGTTTGATATGCCGCCATTGTTTTTGAGGTGAGTTAAAGATATAAAAGAATGAAATATAATACAAAACTTGACCCTAGGTTTTACTCTTACTCTTCTTCTGTCATAACATGAGTCATACCAAACAAATGAGACTACTGTCTATAGATGACGCTTATTATCACATTCGGTATCAAGAGTTATGCTAGTTTCAGAACAACAGAAGTATGAAATTTAGATGAGTGAGAATCTTGAACTTTTTTAATGGTCCGTTCCTTATCAAAGACATGACTCAATGCCATTGTATCGTATCTGTCGTTGAGAATGTGTGAATGATCTGATCATTTTGTTTCGGTGAGCGTCTCCAAGAGCTACACCATTCAATGGAGAGTTAACTTTTGAATTTAACACAGTCAGTGTAGTCTCAGGAGAAGTTCTCAAGCGAATCCGAACAATAAATACTCAAATACGGTGCTAGCTTTACTTGTATTATGTTTTATGTTACTTTGATTTGGATGAAGTAGGATACCTACCTCCTCTTATTAAATAACCAAGCAAAGTGAGAAAAGAATGAATATCATCCGTTTTCGTTATATTGCCATGCGTGTCAGTATATGAGATTATTGTTGAATGATTCATATTGAATCACAAGACAGTATCTTATGATTTTAGAAAGCTCACTAAATATAGTACACACTTCACGCGCTTGTGACAATAGAAATTTCTCTCTTCGTACATCAATCCACGTACATATCCATTTTATCATTTTAGTAAATTTCATACAAGTATTTGTATACGGATAATAATATATAGAACAGGTACCCAAGCAAGATTTATCTCTCTAACGGTTTGAATTCCAGAACTGAATAAAGTTCACTTGAGATAAGATAACACTATAAATTCGTTGCGATTAGTCATAGACACTTTGTGTATATGATATGACATGCAGTATTGTTGCTCATCGTTGATAAATCCGATAAAAAATAAACATATATTTGACTAATATCGAAAATAAACTTTCGTGTCACACTCGTAGTAAACATCATTAATCAATCAATTAGCTTTTTTTCTGTTTTGTCAGTTAGAATAACTACACAACTAAAACAAAATGTCACTCGTATCTTCTGTAACAACAACAATAACAGTCTGGTTTGATTAATTAAATCAATTATTGCTTTCGAGCATGTTTTTTGTGCAAAGAAAGATTGATATAACCCTGAAATAGTTTCAAGTCTAATCTAACAGTTTCAAGCTTTTCAGAATATGATTAATCAAGCCATCTACCGACCGTAGTGTCGATTTGGATTGGTTCTGACTAGCAACGAATGCTATATAAGTAACTCATTCGTTTGTCTGATGAAGATTAGGTGAGTGATTCTCAGTCGTGTTTTAATTGTTTCAAAAAAAAAACTACATGGCAGCAGCAATTGACGAAGGCGTAGGTAAAGTCCGTCGACCGGAACTTTCGCATAAAATCGATGTTGAAGTTACTATCAACGATGCGATATTACTTTCATCTGAAGAAGGTGTTATAACAGCACTTGATGATCGGTATGTTCATCATTGATTGAAACATGATTATACTTTGAAATGGGTGTCTTTTAGAACTGTGCGTATTTGGTTGCGAAGACAAACAGGAAAATATTGGCCGTCTGTCTGCTATACATTAGAGAGTAATCGATGAAATATGATCAGGAGAGAGAGAGAGAGTTTGTTCTTTAATGACTTTAGGTACGCCATCAGCAATATTTTATCATGAGGCAACCCGTCGTCTTTTCTGTGGCTGTGATTCTGGTCTACTACATGTAAAATATTTCCATTCGATGATCTCATTGATGGATTTTGATATTCTAGGAATTTATCGTCGCCGAAGATTTTAATAAAGTCACTCTGAAATCGACTTATCTCGGTCATCAGACTCGTGTTCATGCTATTGTGTTTTCACCACAGAATGATTTACTATTAAGCGTTTGCCGTGAGAAGAAGCTCAATTGGTATTCCACAAACGCATCCAGTGAAAACCATGAACATGTACTTGGAACTTATACATTGCCCTCATGGGGTATGTCAATAGCAATTGATGAATCATCTCGACAATGTTTTGTGGGGGATTCGAATGGAACAATACATTTCTTGAAGATTGACACTGATAGCAAATGCCAAGTGATTACTACGTTAAAAGGACATACAGGTAAGGTCACGCGCTGATGTATTTCTTGTTTTAAGTTGAATTTGTTTCGTTTTTCAAGGAAGTATTCAAAATCTTCTATGGGATTCAACTACAGAGTGGCTATTTTCGAGTAGTTTCGATACATCTGTAGTTGTGTGGGATGTGGGCGCTCATCAAGGTCTGGCTGTTGAATTGAATGGTCATTCAGATCGTTTAGTTGGAATATCGTACGATAATTTACGCAAACTTTTAATCACTTGTTCAGCTGATGGTCATATTGGTGTATGGCCAATGAATGTTAAGCGAAGTGAAACACCCAAATGGCTTGAAAGTGATTGTTGTCAGATATGTCGTTTACCATTTTTTTGGAATTTACGCGCAATGTGGACACAAAAACAGATTGGAATGAGACAGGTCTCTTGCTTAGATGAGTTGATAATAATCACCGTCATTCTCCATGATTTTCCTAGCATCATTGTCGAAAATGTGGCCGAGCTGTATGTGATAAATGTTCACAAACACGTACTGCTCTACCATTGTTAGGTTACGAAACGGTTCAACGTGTTTGTAATGATTGCGTACGTACATTAAGGAACGATGAGTAAGTCGACGATGTTTTTGTTCTTATTAGCTTATGGTGATTGTTTATTTTGTTTTGCTTATAGAACGGTACCACTTGCTTCGTTTTATGATGCACGTCAAGGAACAATTAGAATGGATTATAGTCAAGGGAAAAAGGTCATGATGACGGTTGGAACAGATCGAACAATTAAAGTACGTTCTGCTTATTATAACATCGAGAGCATTCTAAACAGAAAATGCACTTCAAACATGACATTTACTTATCGTTTTGTTTATATTGATTGCTCAACTTGCCTATTCTTGTTTCGAATACAAAATTTTCCTTTCACATCATTAATAGCAAGGTTATCTGCAGAACATGATTCTATCCCTGCTATATACAATGAATAGAATGAGAACGTGTTAGAAAGATGAAAGATCGAGTATGTGCGAAGTTATACAAAAATTAGGTGCTGAATATCCTTATGGACTGATGACATAATTACTGATAGTAATCGAAGAAGCACTGATCACCAGAGAAAAGGAAGTCAATGAGATCATAATAGAAAAGATTGGATTACGATGTATTGAAGGGTGATAGATTCATGGTTGAAATTAGCATCAATGTCATTGATATGTCACAATTGATATAATTGAAACAAGGAGAATTTTCGAGATGTGATTGTTTTGTTTGTTTAGATTTGGGATATGTCATCGGTCGTGTAAAGAATGAAGTGAATTTTGTTTTGTACTCTCTCTTTCCATTATCAATCTTCACATTCCAATGAATGAACAACACTGGCCACGTTTTCGTCTTTTACACATATATATATATATATCTTTTATTTTTTGTCACTTTTTTGCATTGATTTATTGTTGTGTCTTTTACGGGCTTTCCCTTCAAATTGTCGTCTGGTAATCATAATCAAGTCTCTATTTGGTGTACATGCATTTCACAAAAACAAATGTGTCGATGAAATCTTTTATTCTTTTCTTTTCTAGATGAAAGTATTCCATGTCATCAGATAAGATAATGTTATCTCACTCACTTCATTTTATCGTGTTCAAAGACGAGAAATAGAATTTACGTGAAATATTGTTGAATACTCCAATCGAGGATCATCAAATACTGACACATATTGAGACGAATGCTAGTTTGAAAACTTGCTTTCTCTTTCAGATAGATGGTCATTGCCATGGAGCAGAGCAATCATTCAGGAAAAGTCTTAGTTACTACATTATATCCATTCAAAGCACAAAATACAGATGAAGTAAATACACTAATCAGATGATTATTCTCTTGTCTAGCGATAAATCTTGACCTTTAATTGAGAAGCTCGAGAGAAGAAATCTCTAACGAATATATATATATTTTCTTTACGTCATATCAGATAAAGCAAACAGCGAACGACATTGTTTCCGATGGGATTAATTCTATTATTCTATTGATCTGATATCGACGTTTCTGATCATTTTTCCATTTAGTTATCATTTGCAAAGGGTGATGTTATTATTATAACACAAGCACCCACCGATGGAGGTTGGTGGGAAGGAACGTTGGATGGTAAAACCGGCTGGTTTCCGTCGAATTATGTTGAACAATTGTCACAAAAAATAGGTAGGAGAAAAGAAAAATGATTTGTTTCTAATTATGCACATGTTTCGAAGGTTATCGTAGTTTTGTTCTTTTGCTATTTTATCTCTCGATTTTGTCACTTTGATTACTGGTACAAATAAATACAACTAATATCGTTGATGTCTGTCATCAGACAAACAGCAGGAGGATATAGTAGATGAGAAAGAAAGAAAAGAGGGAGAAGGACGGCTGCAACTTCTGTTTCTCTTTCTCGTTCGTTGATATAATCGACAGAACTCTTTCTCATCATTCTCTTTCTTCGTCTCCGACTTTACCGGCAGTGGTGGTAGTAGTGGTTGTAATACTAGTACTAATGGTGGTTAAGATCTAGTTGTTATTATCAATAGTCGATTCCTCTTTCATTTCTTTCTACTTCAATGCGATCAACAAGTTGTGTATCATGTCGAATATTCGCTTGTAGAACACGTACGTAGAAAAACTTACTTGCAGTATAATCGTTGATTAATCTTTCGAGATAACGACATAAGCATATTTGCTAGTCATAAAATGGAATTTTGATTTGATTAGTTGTGTATTCTAATGAAGAGAAAATGATTTCTGTTTAGATTCAACACCATCGACCCAAAGTGCATCGTCACAACAATGTGCGGAAATGCGTACTCATCGAGAAACGGTTAGTTACGATGACGAATCTTTTCTTGCTAACGACGAAAACACTTTTCATTACATAATATCGAAAAAAAGAGCACAAGAAAGTTTATCGAGTAAAGGTTGATGTAGACATCAAAGTAATTATCGAGAAATGGATACATCAACATAGACCAGTTGATCTTTACGATGATAACTAAACAATAGATCAGCGAGGAGAATGTTTTATCAACAAAGTGCGGGCAATTCGAAGGAGATTTTGATTATCAAAATGAAATTATCGAGTTGATCGAATATTCTCTTATTTAAGTGTTAATTGTTATGATCATCAGTTAACATTACACTTCGGTACACTTCCACTGACCTTTACATTGACATTTTAACAATCGATATGATCGTTTGCTTCGATTGACAATCGATATCTCTTTGAAAATGATATTCTTTCGATATATATATGCGTGTGTTCTTAGATTCTCGAAGCATTACTCGAAGGTGAACAACGTTATATCAATGAATTGGAAGATTTCGTTCAGAAAACTATCCAGCCATTGGCACATGCACTTTCAACGTAAACTCTTCATCTTACACAATGATTTGCAATATCAATCGAATTTTTCTTTCAGATCGGGACAAATCCCACATCTCCATCTCGATGTTCACATGCTGGATGAATTAACAAAATTTCATCGCCATCTGCTGCATGTTCTACGCGACAACTCAAAGTAAACTTGAAGATCAGTTTCGTTTCTGAACTAACGAGTCGTGATATTTTAGATCACAACATCGTGTTGGTGGAATATTTCTTCAATTAGCACCGAGTCTGAAATCAATTTTTGAAATATATTGCTACCAACATGCTAAAGTTCTCTTTCTACTCAATCATAATAAGTACATGATTACATTACAAATATCTCTCGTTAATTGTATGTATTTGCATTTACATTTAGAGAACGAATCTACAATGTGCTAGCTAAAATTGATTCATCAATGGATGCTAATCATTCATATATACAATTAATTAAAAACCTTTCATTACCATTGAGTCGCTTGGAGAAATACGCCAATCTACTTAAAGAGTATTTGCATAATCTTGAAGTAAAATCAGTGCTTTATTCGCAATCAAGGATATATTTTATCTTCTCCGTGTAGGAATTTCATATTGATCGAGGCGATGCACAACGAGCAGCAGAATATTATGCTGAATTAGCTGTAAGAAGAGAGTTTCTTTTCGTATCAACTCATTCTTTCTTCATTCGTTTAGTGTCTCGGTGCTGAATGGCGTAAACGTAAAGAATGGGAACTTGATATCATTCATAGTACGATACATGGACTCGGTTTGGAAGTAAGATGGCGAGAGTTTTTTTTTCTTTACGCACCAACCGGTCGTCTGGAGATTTTCATTCCGAGAGAAATATTCTGGTCATAGTATGACTAATGAGAAGAAGAAATGGCTCGTTAAGCGTATAATGTTTGCGATTAAAATGCTATTGGTCATGGAAGGAATCCTGAGATAATGAGAGGAAAAGAAAGTTGATTGATTGATTGATCGAAAAAGTGTTTGTTGTAGTCTTTAAGTTCATATGGTGATGCAATTTGTCTTTGTCCTGTTAATATCCTCTCGGAAAATCTTGGGCAAATAGCATTGGAGCGTATAGCGATATTGTATCCATCAACACTCTTCCTGCTCTCGACTACGACGTCGTCGAATGCACAACAAGAATATCAAGTCGAGGTTGGTCAAATCGAATGCGAACTCGTCCTTCATTTCTTGGAAAATGTTGCATTTAGAATCGATTTTTATTGAATCAAATCACTGTCAGTAAAATCGTAGACGATAATATTCTAGGCAAACGAGCGTTGAAAATTAATGGTAGGAAAAGTTTTGGAAAAAGATATTTAGAATCATCTTTTATTCCTAGCCCCATCAAATCAATCAATGATCATCACGTTCCCTAGTCCAGTGGAATATCAGGAATGGTGTGAGAAATTCTGCTCAGTATTAACTCCAAGGTCACCGCAAACTCATCATCATCATCACAATGCACCGTATACTCCACAACAAGTGTCTAAAGTACGAATAAAATAGTGATATTGTCCACATATTGGCATCTTCGCTTTTTAGTCGGTATCATCATTACCTAACACAATGATGAAGTCATCACCAATGAGTTCGGGAAATATTTCATCGAGAACGCCAGTTCAGTCACCAGCGCCGGCGAAACACAATATACCACCTGTTGCATGGTCGAAGGGATGTCTTCGACCACATTCACCCTTGCGGCCTCGTCAACAAGGCGCATTGACAAATCACTCTTCAACAACGACATCTGGTACAAATTTAATCGGATCACCAGTCCTTTCCGGAGGCGGTGGGATGGGTATCAATGATCCGTCTGGAGGTTCGAATGAAACAGGATCAAATCGAACACTTCGACGTTTCATGACCATGAAAAAGTCCAAAGCGAATGAGTTTCTCAAACGTGGTACGCATCATTATATCTTTTTACTAAATCAGAATGAACACCGCTTTCTATTTAGTGGAAACAAGTGAAGGCGATTCACTTCTATTGTCTGTCATCGAAGCCTATTGTGTCACGAATACTAACAACGGGACTGCTATTGCTGGTTTGAATACTCTGATCGCTAAAGCACGACATTCAATGTCAACAGCTGGTAAAACTACTAACATGATTTTCGATAGATAAACACTTTCTATTTTTCTCTCACAGGAATCACGAGTGCAGTTAGTAGTAATGCTGACCATCCATTATCGTTAGTCAGTGGTCAATCAAATGCCCATTTAGATCATTCAAACATTCCACTATTACCTGCACAATCGTCTAGCGTGACAATACCAACTGATATGTAATTTATACCGTTTGTTATTTGATGTTGAAAACTTACTTCATGTTCTGTTTTGTTTAGAGAACGTCGTGCGTTGATAGATATGATGAACGAACTTCGCTTAGGATTTAAAAGTCTCCAATACGAACTAGAAGAAGAACGTCGAGCACGTCGACAGTTAGAAAGTCAGATACAACGATTATTTCTTACTTCAACTGGAAAATAATTCAATCTTATGTCGATTTTCTCTTGTCTTGTAACTCAGGTTATATTACATTGATACTTTTTTTGTCAATCAATCTCAGTGTGCTTCCGAAACTACCAATCCAAATCTCGAGCGCCAATTGTCATTGTGTACATAAGTCTATTTTTTGCTATCTCGCTTCTCATTTCACATTCTGAGTTGAATAAAAGTTTTTTTTTTAAATTTGGAATATTAACTATGCTTTCGCAAAAATCGGAAAGTGTCAGGGTTCTTATACGTTGTCGCCCATTTAATCAAAAAGAGATACTTAGTCGTGCGATAAAATGTATTGAAATTCAAGATTTTCCTACGAAAAAGACGCCGTGTGTGGTTAAATTAATCAGTCCGAGAAGATATCGAAGACGAATATCTCGATTATTCCGTTTCGATTCCATCTACGATGAAAATCAACGCACAGAACATATCTTTCAAGATTTTGTTCAGTCGTTAGTATGTGATGCGACATTACATGGATATTCTGGAACAGTTTTTGCCTATGGACAGACAGGATCTGGTAGTACATTGTTCGCCGATGAGTATCCTACTTATTTGCTGATGTTCATAGGAAAATCGTGGACGATGACAGGCTGTCCATGCCATTCGGAAGTTGGATTGATATCGAATGCAATCGAACACGTTTTCAATCTCGTTCATGAGCATCAATCAACTTTGGAACAAGAATTTACGATAAAATGTGCTTACTTAGAAAGTGAAGTGTTGATTTTTTTCTAGAAAATCCAGCTTAGAAGAAGATTTCGTTTAGTTTATAACGAAGAACTCCATGATTTACTTCGACCGCGCGCTTCATCGAAATCCCACTCGCGTCTGGAACTACGAGAAAATCCCCGGTCATCTGGCGTTCAGATAACAAATTTAACATGGAAGACTGTTTATTCCATTGATGAATGCTTGAAGTTCAAACGGCTAGGTGATCTAGCTCGAACCATGGGCTCAACACAAATGAATCGAGATTCGTCACGATCGCACACGATGTTCTCACTTTCCATTCAACATCAGAACAACAATCAAACAAAAACGTTTCGGCAAGGCAAACTAAACTTCGTTGATCTCGGTAACCATCTACGACTTACTTCGTCTAGTGCATTTCATTTTGATCACTATTAAGCTGGAAGCGAACGACAAGTCAGAACTGGTGCGAGCGGACAGCAATTACTCGAATCAGCTAAAATCAATCTCTCGTTATCAGCACTAAATAAAGTTATTTCCTCATTAGTACATACGCATACAACGCATATACCATATCGAGATTCCAAATTAACACGTCTTTTGCAAGACAGCATTGGCGGAACAACCAAAACAATCATGATTGCTTGCATATCGCCGTCGGAAGATAATTACGAAGAAATATTATGCACGTTACGGTAAATCGCAAGAGAAATACTACAGATTCGAAGAATTCCATCGTTTCATGTTTTAGTTACGCATCCCGAACGAAGAACATTTGTAATACTCCGATCATCAATGAAAATTCCTCTTACATACTTCTCCAACAATATGCCGAAGAAATTCAAAGACTAAGAGCGATTATTAATTCTTCTAATCTTCACATGAATTCAACATCTCGTTCGATGGTTTTGACTTCGGACATCAAATTCGATGATCAACATTCGATCAAAACCATATGTGATCATCAACTCTCATCGGAAACGTCGCCTTTGATCAAGTAAATCATTAACTGTAGTCGGATGAAAAGTTAACCTTTCTCAATTCGATTTCTTACATCATTTAGATGTCAACGTACAGTTAGTTGTCAGACGATGTCAATTATTACTAATGAGCAAACCTTGTCTGAGCAAGAGAATTATAAACAACTATTCGTCATTTCTGACGAAAATCAGCAGAGTTATCAGATATTAGCTTGGCATTACTGTCCGTTCACTTCACAATGTGAAGGACATCTGATTCTTCTCGTGAAAGAAAATCGAAATGCTTGGATAGGTACTCTGACAACAAGCGCAGTGAAAGGAGACCGAACACTATTGTGGAACAACTATCTCATCCAACGCCAACATCAATTGTATCTGTCAGCGGAAAGCAATGATTTGATCACTCATTTTGAGATACGAGACACTTCAGTAATATTACCCGTTCGTGGCCTTCATTTTTACAATTTCTTATCTTTAGTCTGTAGATGCAGTGCAATCGCTAGTTTTCTATACCTCGTCAAGTTATGTTGCTTCGAATAACATTCGAGTTGATCAGAACCCATTGATTAATGATCATTTTATCACATTGAAAGAAACAGATGGTGTGATCTACTACCTTTGTGATATTCTACAGACATCGTCATCGAACGAATTTATCGTTTTTAATCTGAATCAACAGAATTTGTATCAAGTGCATCATATCCGATTCAATTCCGAAGTTTCCTTTGAGAACAATGATGATATCGAGGTCAAGCATTGTTGTTGTTGTTACAATGGAAATAACGAGTCAAAAATAAGCAAATTGATATCATCGTCGCATTTCTTATCGTTGATTAATATGTCGTGCGAAATCGAAGAAGAAAATAGAATTACCAGAACAAACTTACATTTCGTTGATTTAAGTAATCATTTCATACACTGACTGCACTTAATCTTTAAAAAAACACTGCTAAATAATCCTGACAATCTTCAATTTCAACACTTATCTCCGAACATCTGGCGTCGATTCTCAAATATTGCTGATCAAATAAATACCTCTCGATATTCTTCTTGTTTTTGCTAAATTTCAAGTATCCACTCGAAAATGAAGCTCTGTATCGTTGCTGTTCTCGTTGTTCTTCTCTCTGGTAAAAAGAAACATTTGAGTTTTGTCCACATCTTCTACTCATATTGTTTTAGTCTCGGCTTTTGCCGCCAAACCAATTTCACTCGGTTCACTTTGTTTGAATCCCGTCAATTGTTTTGTCAATCCATGTCAAGTATGTTCATAAAAATCGTTGACATTTATTTGTTTTGTTATCTTCGAATTAAAAATCCTAGTTCTCCCAATGCTCTGCACATCCTGACGCTGTCTGCACGTAAGTTATTCAATAAACTGTATTCAACTTTTCATTACTTCTTCGTTTCTAGTGCTAACTACTGTGGTGGTTGTAACGCTGTCTGGTCTGTTCGTGGTCGACGTGTTGATTGTACGTGTCAAAAATAAATCAGATAAAGATAGTTAATTCATTAAATCTCGTTTTCATTCAGGCACAGAAGTTGACGCAGTCGAAGCAGTCGAAGCAAGTATGTAGGAGAACATTGTTCCAACGGAAATCTACACAGATGGAATTCTCTTAGGAAAATGTGTCATGGTTAACTGTTTTATGGACCCATGTGGTTTGGCTAAATGCCCAAATCATCCAGAAGCAACATGCCGGTATGTTAACAGGAAATTTCTTTCTTTGTTGTGCTTATAACTATATTATGAAATGTTGCTTTAGTGCTGATTATTGCGGTGGATGTAATGCACGATTTTACAACGCTGCTGGACGACGTGTTCTATGCAATTAAACTTTCTTTTTTTTTTCTTCAATTATTTACAAAACTGACGACAATAAAAGAAAGAAAGAAAAGGAAAGGACTAAAATAAAAACTTTTAACACAGAGTACCATGAATACAAGACAAGGAGGTCGAACAAGAATCCGATGGATTGTCCAAGTTCATATAAACATGATCGGATGTCGACGGAGGAATCGGATAAAAATAACTTTCAACTTCACGATCACATAAGAGATCATCTAACGAGTCCATTGTTTGCTGAGGGATAGATGTTCGTTGGTGCGGATGAACGCTTTTCTGAGAGGAGACTTGATTAGGAACTTGAGAGATCATAAGAACTGCACCAACAGAGTGTCTTGGCCGTGGTTGCTGAGGTTGTTGTTGTTGGTTGAGAAGTGTCAATCCATAGGAATTATTCAATAAATCTTCATCGACGGATTTTGTTGGATTTGAATGAAAATAATATTTCTTGGCGACGACCTGTTTCGCTGATTGGAACGACATTTCGCTTTTGTTCGTTGATGAGAAAGGAGGAAATTGATAAACACCTTGTAAAGATTTATCTGCGTGTTTGAGTGATTGATTTTCTTTATTGGATTTATGTCTATCGACATCGATAGTTGATTGTCGCTGAGAAAAATCCATTGTACGTCGGCGGTTTGATTTTAAAGAACGTTTGTCAAATATTTGTTGTGCAGTTGGTGACGGTGTCATTCTCTCGGTCATTCCTTTCGCAAGAATCGATGAAGAAAAAGACGATGATGGCGAAAGTGATTTTTCAGCTTGATGTTCAACAATAGGTCGAGTAATACGTGCTACTAACGATGAACTTCGTCGTGGCGGTTTAATATTCGTTGGCGTTTGTCGCATGACAGTAGAAATCACTGAAAAAAAAACATGAAAAGACACGTAATTCAAATGTACTTATTACTTTGAAAGAACTGTCACTTCGTTTTACTTTCGGGTCGTTTTCTTCGTTCTGAGTCCTATAGTTTATCGATATTTGCAGTATTTAAATAGGGTAAAATGGTAGGTACAGCAGTTGAGTACAAGTAAAGAATTTTGTACACAAATCTGTCACACACGTCGTATTGTATGACAACATGAGAGCATGAAGAGAGAGAGGGAGAAAGAGGAGAAGAAGAAGAAGAAAGATTGAAGTTATTATGAAGTATTTGACTGTATCTAAGCAAACATTTTCTATTCTGTTGCTACAACACGTCTGAGTATTAAAAAAAAATATTAAATTAATATAGGAAAAGATGTAAATATAAATATAGATATATATTTAATCGAGAAAAAATGCTTGTAGGACAGTCGTCCGATTAAAATGAAAGTATAATGTTTTGTCAAAAGAAAAAAAGAAATCGATCTTTTCCTGTCTCAATATAATGCTGTCATATAGACTTTCAAAGTAAGAAAATAAAAACAAGAGAAAATTTCGTTGTTGTAGCTCACATTTTTCATTAATTGCGTATGTGTACCTTGTAGTCGGTAAAGCAATTCTTGTCAACTAGCATTGAAGTCTTTAGAGAGAGTCTGAAGTTGATGAATAACGTAGATATTTTTCGCTTTGCTTTATTTCTTCTGTTCTTTGGCTGAAACTCGTTTCTTCCTCGCTCTCTTAACATTCAGACAGGCAGCGAAGCAATACGAATGCGTATGTCATATTGTACACCATGATCAACACTTCAGATATGAGTCAACGTCTTTTGCGTCGAATTCTAATCGTGTAGAGAAGCAAAAACGAACGAGATTTTGAGAGTAGCAGCGAAAGATCATATATCACAGTCAAGTATTTTCTTTGTCTGAGAGTAAATTTCATCAGGAGAAGAAAACAAAACATGAAATTCGATTTGTTTTACCTTTATTATCTGTGTATGTTGTTGACTGTTGATGATTGTCATGAATATACGGTAAATCTTGATGATCGAGTTCAGCCTGCGTTATTTTCGCTTGCTGATCGAGCCATGCTGATATTTTCTCATAAGTTGTCTTTGACTGTTGAATTGGTGAATCTTGATAATATGTAAATGGCAATGAGATTGTGTTACTTGCAACAAGCGATGACGGAAGTACATCGTAGATGGTTGATTGTTGATGGTATTGACGGAGGATGTTCGTTGACGATATTTGTCGGGAATTCATCACTCTGACCCGTCGCGTATGCTTGGATTTGGATGGGACGAGGAAGTTTTTTAATTTTGAGAAAAGATGATGAAAACCTGAAAAATAGTTTGGTTATTCTCTCGATTAAGCTTGTCAAAGCGGAAGAAAATAATACATATATATAAAGAGAGAGAGATTCTCTTTGCATTAAAAACAAAAAATCCTAACCAATGATTTGTTCTAACAACAAATTAGCTCAATGGTTATACATAGATCTTGTCTTTCTGCTTTGCTAGATACTAGAATAATAGATGGATACAATCTTCGGCTGATAAGATAGATGATATATAAATATAAAAGAAATGTCAACAGCGCCAAGATCAACTGTCGGAATAGCAGCAATATAGATCGATTCCTGGTTTTGGCCACGTGTATTCTATTCTTTTTCTCTTTTCCCTTATTAGACTTACCCTTTGATTTGCCATCGTATTGTTCTTGTTGTTGCTGATGTTGTTGTTTTGAAGCGATTGTTGGCGATAGTTTCTTCGACGATGCATTCCTTGTCGTTGACACTGAAGAGCCACCTGTCGAATAGCCGCTTGACGTTGTAATGGACGTCTCCGGTGACAATGTACCGAGAATCGAATGCTTTAGCATATTTGTAATTTTTGGCGCTTGTAACATTGATCGATGTGTTCGACGACGTTCAGTAGATAACATGTTTAGATAATTCTACGTTTAATCGGATCTAGAAATAAATACGAATGGAAAACATGCTTTATATCAATAAAACTTGATATTTTTAGATCAAATTAAAATAGAAAAACATCCGAACAGTCAGAAATTGAATAAATAATAGACCATAGGAGGAGAAAAACACAGAAAATGAGGGCGTATGAGTATATTCTGTCACATTCAAAACTCGATGAATGATAATAATGAATTTACTCAGCTTGTCGTCATTTTCTCTCTCTCTCTCTCTCTCTCTCTCNTTTCAAATCAACATTTTTGATTTCGAAGAGTTAGAATCGTATTCATTATCCATGGTGCGTCCTATTAGTTGCCATTCTGTATTATGTAAGTTTCTTACATGGAAAGAATCGTCGGATGTGTGCACATGATTAGTTCTCTTATTCTTCAGTTTACTGAAAAAAAAAACAAGATGAGAAGCATGTTCTCATTCTTCAGAGAACACAAAAAAACCTCGCCACTGCAAAGAAGTTTTTTCAAATGCAAATTATGCGACTGTGTTTGCGTGAATTTCTTCTCTCTTCATCAAATTACTTTGAAAAATAACCACCAAGGTCACTTGTGTCACTCACTGCGAAAAAGAAACCAAACGAAGTCACGATGCTCTTTTTCCGTCATCATCTTGAGCAAGACATCTGAATGTCCTCGTTATAATTATTTGATATTAATATGTTATAATTGCCTCGGTATTAGTGAAGATATTTTTGTTTTACGACAGAAGCTCCGGTGCTTGTTTTTTTGCTTGATCATCTGCAACGAATTCATGTTACGATGTTAAAGAAAAGAAAAACGAGATTTGATTTACGAAACAATTCATCACGGGGATCACTAGAGTGCGAGAAGGGTAAAGTATAGTATTGGTTTTTTAGGTTTAAGATGAAGCGAAGAGATCGATGCAATTCGATATCGTCTAGAAGATTTGAGTGTTTGCCAATGCACAGCAGTACAAGTTTTGTTGATGATTATTGATATCGAAGTTTTGACCGATGGAATTAAGTTAGATTAGATTATGCATTATGATGATTATCGTGATCAAGATAACGAATGTCTTCTTTTGGTTTTTGCAAGAAACGCTTCAAATGAGAAAAATTTTTCGTTCAATTCACAAGTTAGAAAATCGAATTATGTAAGTGATTGAGAAAATGAGCGGTTTTAGACATGATCGCCTTTCATCCTTCTTCTAGAGACCGAGTTAGACAGATTGCTCAATTAATTTGTCGAACATCATTGATCCAGTTTTGAGTCTAAGACATATTTCATAAACGTGTGTCAGTTCATTGTGTAAATTACATCTTGTTATCAAAAACCAATTCGTTTATTTGATTAAACATCGTTTTGAAGCGTCAATTCAACTCACTGGTTGTTTCCTTTCCGTTCTTTGAGACTACTGTCTGACATCAGCTAAAATGCATTTGAGTCGAATAATTCAATGCTTGATGAATGATGACGTTTTTCTATCCAGTAGTCGAAGGAATAGATTGGACGACAATGAAGTTGCAAGACCAATGGCTTTACACAATCATCAATGCATCCAATGATCAACAGCAACAACGACAATTGACTTTTTTTCTTAATGTCTTTTGTTTGATATAAAAATAAATGTTTTTTTTTTCAAAACAAATTCATCCTCTTTTTTTTGCCATCAATGCATTATTACGGTTGCATCTGTTTGTAATGTGTCCATTTGTTGCTCACGTATATGTACAAAAGGAAAAAGAGTGTGATTTCACATTGAATTTTTTCAATATGGCTCGACGATTCTACGTTTTCTCCGTCATTGTTTTGTGTCAAGCCTCCCGTAAGATTCAGTTGAAAGAAAAGAAAAAAAAGCTGAAATCGAAAGGTATTCTGTCTGGCGTATTTGTTCTTAGTCGAACAACAACATGTGCAAATCCTGTCAATTGTTTGATTGATCCATGCCAAGGTGCAACACGCAGAAACTATACGAATGCTGTGTGTCGGTAAACATCGCCGAAGTTTCAATGTCAACATTGAGTATTTCGTCGTGTTTAGCGCAAATTACTGTGGGGGATGCAATCGAAATTTCTACGTTGGCTGCAAAAAGGTCGACTGTGGATAAGAATCAATTTTCATATGATCTATGGATATCTTTATTCAAAATAAATTAAGAGGAAAAACAATGAATGTCATGAAAGAGAAGACTGGATTAAGATTGTAAGTTGTCGACATCTATTTACATTCAATGAAGTCTGATTTATGTCAGTGCATTATTTTTTAATTTGTTTGACAAGGAGCAAAAATAGAGTTGCTTTGTCATCATGCAAAATCACTTTTCTCACTTTTTTTTAAACAAAAGTCTTCAGGGAACGGTATATTTCGTTAAATCATGCTCCATTTCTATTCTCGCAATCGCTATTGATATATTTACAAACACTTCCAATCTTCAATGACTTTCATGGTATGTCACAAACACAGCGTTTGAGAGTAACGTATTCATGAAGACATTATTTATCATTTGCAAATAAATTTCACCTGAATCAGAGGAAGTGACATCGAAATTCGTCTTAATGACAGAAAGTATCGCACGAGTTCTTTTTCTCAGGCTCGATCAAGATTTATCGTTCGTCATTTTCGTGTTTCGATTCTTATTACATAAAAACGAGAGTCAGTAAAGCAGTGCATTGATTAAAGTCCATCGATAGTAGGTACGTACTGACGATCAACAAAATATTCACACAATGAGAACGTAGAAAGCAAGATATTGATTAGTACTATATAATATTCAAGAAATAAATACTACATTTACCTTTCGTTTTTTTTCTCCTTCTTCGTTTTCTATTTAGCTGTCGCTACTGTGTCTATAATAATCGATTGTATAATTCGCATTTCTCGTTGAGTTTCGTCCTTTACGAGTATTTACTATTACCATTTGAAAAGAAAACGTTACTACCAATCGATAGCTGCGTATACAGGTGAATTAACATGAATCGAAATGATGCAAATCACGTGTCGAAAAGTTTATCATTACAACAACGGCGAACACAGAGCGTCGATGAATATTCATTGAAACGAGTGGATGGTGAAGTTTTTGGAGAAAATGGTCAACAAATAAATAAAGGGATATCAGATGGTTCTTGTGATCTAATAGAAGAATGTAGTGATATTTATGGATGTAATGTACCCACAAGAAATGCCGGTAAATTACCACCAGGAGTGCGCAGGTAGAAAATTTTGATTTTATAGTTTGAGAAGGATACAGATGATGGTATTCTAGTCGAGCTTTTAGACGATCACGATCCTGTTTTGCGCCTTCACCACATTGTAGTTTTGGACCAAAAGCTACATTGAAAAAAATACAAAATAACAACCAGCTGATGTAGGTGCATTCTATGTCTATTTCTGCATAATTATATCATTCGATATCAATAGTGTTATTCAGGACCCGTCCTCTCAACGGCTTCATTGGCTCAGTCCGCCAAAATACGTTCTTATAATTCGTAAGCCGGGTCAATCGACAGTGCCAGAATTTCGTGCACTTGTACTCAATCTCCTAAAAGTAACGCATATTTCACGAAAATAATTCTCGAAAGTAGATGAACTGTTCTGATTTTCAGCGTGATCTGACAGTTTACATAGACTCATCCGACGAGACATATTTATCTTTTGATAAGAATGTAATTGACAAAGACAAAGTGACTGAACGATGCAAACTTTTCGATCAAGGTATTGATTTGTATTAACAATGAATCGAAACTTTTCTTTCCCTTCAATCAAATTTAGAACACGACATATCACTCATCGATTTAGCGATTTGTTTGGGCGGTGATGGTACGTTGTTGCATGCTTCAAGTATATTTCAACAAACTTGTCCGCCGATTTTATCATTCTCATTGGGCTCATTGGGATTTTTGACCCCATTCGATTTTAAATATCACGATAAAATCCTAAATGAAGTCTTATCCGGTAATGTGGCTCTTCTACTACGAACACGTTTAAGCTGTGTGATTCAAAAAGACACGTCCGATACATCCAAGGTTTCTTCAGATGAAAACGGTACAACGACAGAACGCAGTGATGATGGTAAAACTTATCTTGTTCTAAATGAAGTTGTCATTGATCGTGGACCTAATTCCTATCTGTCCAACTTGGATTTGTATATTAACGATAAATTTATAACCAAGGTTCAAGGTGATGGTGAGTTAGTTTGAAAAATAAGTCACGCTGAGAATCATCAAATTCTATCTAGGATTGATTATTTCCACTCCCACGGGTTCCACAGCTTATGGAATGGCTGGTATGCTTTCATAATATTTTATAATATTGTCTAGAGGACCTGATTCTAGCTGGTGCTTCCATGGTTCATCCGAATGTTCCTGCAATGGTGATCTGTCCTATATGCCCACATTCTTTGTCTTTTCGACCGATTGTTGTACCAGCTGGCCTTGAACTTGAAGTGAAGGTATCTGAAGATACTCGTTTAACTGCATGGCTTTCAGTCGATGGACGAAATCGACTTGAACTGGAACAACAAGATAGGTAAATCTCATCAATAATTATAGATAAGAAAACAAATGTGAATATTCCCGTTGATGTTTAGTGTCCGAATCACTACGAGTATTTATCCTATTCCATCCATAAGTCGGTTCGATCAACTGGGAGATTGGTTCGAATCTTTGGCAGACATCCTCCATTGGAATCTACGAAAACCACAATCCAGCCTTGAAACTGATCAAGATTTGCAATTGGAAGATGGAGAAAGCAACGATTTTGCTCCGATATCGTGATTGGAACAGATTTCCAAGTCATTTGTGAATAAACCCGAGTATTTTCGTTTTTTAACTAACTAAGATTTCATACATTAATTTTTCATTACGAAAAACAGAAAGCATCGAAAGCAAATTCTTTATTGAAAGTTCTACAACGACTCCAACCTTTCTATTCGATAACAATGTTTAGATCTACCATATGTAATCGAGAGTTTTTATCGGATATGTATCATTGGTATGAACAATGTTCCAAACCAATGTACATATATAAATATCGATAACTGTAACGAGCGCAAATCAAAGAGTGACGAGAAAACATACGGTAGATGAACAAGGAATAAAAGAAAAGTTATAAGAAACAATATGTAAGAATTCAACGGTTGTTTGAGACAATTTTTTGTTTTGATTGTCGGTGTATGAATTAATGAGCATGTTGAAAATTCATCAAATAAAAACAAGGCTTCATGTTGACTGATTTTATATGGTAATGATGGCTGTACATAGAGAGACGAACATTTCTACAACAAATAGAATTCAATTAAATCAACTGATATTCATTTTCGAAAAAAATATTCACTATGTTATTTGCCGGCTGATCTAAATGGAAATTGAATACTGTTTTAACGAGATTGGTTAATTCAGTCATATCTTGATGATGTTCATAATTGTCATACAATGGTGTATGCTCTTTTTCCTTTTTATTGTAATAGTATAATATTAGTGGCCAGCAGAGATGAATGCAACTTAATATCAAAGAAATGAGCAGTGGAAGACAGTACATACTGAAATAAAGAATCGGGAGAATCCACCATGGAATATCTTGAGTTAATCTTCGATAGGGGAGATAATCTACTTGATGAAAAGGTGAACTTAACCATAATAATGGCGAATAGGCAATGATTGGTGTTATCCAAATGAAACAAACGAATATTCGTTGAAATGAACGCGTTGTAATTAATAGAAGAAGTGAATATAACTGAACGGTGTCAATAATATGAAATGTGAACGACCATAGACGCCAGATGAATGATTCTGTTGACCAAATTGAACGAAAATAAAAGAACGGAATTAACCAGATCGATACAATCAACGACGAACATGAATAATTAATCAGAATGGAACGGACGCGTCGTATTTGTTTCGTATGTTGATAAATAATCAAGTAAAGTATATGAGAAATATTTATAATAAAGATTAATAAAAGAAGAAGAGTAGCTAGACAGAATTCAATCGAGATCGTTCGTATATCAAACATGTTATTTATCAACTAAATTGACTTTGTATTTCAAGACAGTAATGAACACATCTGTTCTTAATCGATATGATGCATGTTCAATGTGAGAGAGTTGACCTGTACAATGGTATAGCTTACTCAGTTAACCTTTTCTTCTTTGTGTAGATATGCATATGTATGTGCGTGTGTGTGTGTGTGACAGAAACAATAATACATTGAAGATAAGATAATCATATCATTATGTTATGAAACATTGATGAGAAAGAAGTCTATTGAATGATTTGAAAAATAAACTGATTACAATGGTATCTGTGATTGTTTATATTATCAACTAGACTGACTCGCGTTTGTTTTTTTTCTTGTGTGTATGTGTGAGTAAATTTCTTATCATTGAGAATGAAGATAGATCATCGATCTTTTGTATATATCTCTTTTCATTTTCTTAAAATTGATTGCATTTCGTTTGTTTAGTGAGAGAGAGGAAGACGGAATACGAACTGATCCGATGAGTGATGTAATTCTCATACGTTGATGAAAGGTCATTCGAAACGAGAGATTATTACCTCAAACCCCTTATCTCAATCAGAACTCATTTTTCAGGGTTGAATGATGATAACTCGAAATGAAACTGTACATCAACCATGCATGTATAAACAAACCATGTTTCTTTTAAACAATCATCATCTAGGAAAAGTAATGATGATGTTTATTTGATTATATCAAATGAATAAAGTCCAACACACGTAATTGGTGTGTCTGTAATGTTCGCCGCATCGATGACGACAATGGTGACTAGAAGAGAGAGAGAGAGGAGAAACTTGTGCATCATCACCATGAAATAAGCAGTCAAATGTCTATCTAATATCGACTTGAAAAAGATAAAATGCTGAGTTAGAGATGCAATGTCATACGGTGAGAGTATCTTCAGGTAAGCGAAAGAAAACAGCGTATGGTTATTATCACTTTTTTTTTCGATGACATTGCGAAGATAGTGAAATGTATATAAAAAGGTAAACACACTCTTCATTTCATTGTTTCTCGTCGACAACAAAAAACGAACATGAGCAGTGGTGATCTTAAATTATACTATTTCAATTTGGCAGCTCGTGGTGAATTAACCCGACTCATCTTAGCAGCTGCTGGTCGATCGTACGATGATATTCGTTACAGTTTTGAACAATGGCCAGAATACAAACCAAAAATGATCTTAGGTCAATGCCCAGTTCTCGAACTTGCCGATGGCACCCAAATTCCTCAATCATTGTCCATTGCTCGTTACGTTGCCCGCGAAGCAAACATGGCCGGCGCCGACAATCTTGAATCAGCAAAAGTCGACGCTGTTGTTGAAACACAACGCGACATCAACGAAATTTTCTACTCGAAAGTCTTCTTCGAAAAAGATGAAACTAAAAAAGCCGAACAATTGAAAACCTTTCTCGAAGAGACACTTGTCAAACATGTCGAAAACTTAGGTAAATTGAAGAAAGCTTACAGCAAAGACGAACGATATTTCGTCGGCAATCAATTATCATGGGCCGACTTATTTGTCTATCAATCAATTCAATCTTTAGTTCAAGCTCTCCCAGAAGTCAAAGGAAAATTTGGTGATCAATTCAAACCATTGATCGATGCAGTTCATGCAAACGAAAATTTGAAAAAATATTTAGATTCACGACCAAAAACTGACTTTTAAAAGCAAACCGCTAGTTTAGGCTTTTCTTTATATGAAATAAATGTTCTTACGGAATCTAATGGTGCCTGTTTTTCGGGAGAACAAGATTGATTCAGGTTGGCAGTTTCTATAGTAAAGTAGAAGATAAGAGATAAGAAATCGATATGAATACATACTGGAGTTGGTAGGAGAAGATCTTTTGATAAACGTTAAACTGCTGTTATCAGTAATCGATTGAGTTATCTGAAACGCGAAAACTGGTGTTGACTTTTCATGTCTTCGAGCAATTTCTAACAGACAGAAACCTTTCGTACAGATTGTCTCGAATTAAAAATAGTTTATAGATATATGAGATGTTGATAAAAACAAACTTTATCAAAAGTGTCAGAGATCTCTATTAGCATAAACAAAAAACAAAGCTGTTTCATATTTACTCAAGGCCTTACTCCAGTTTCAGTAATTATTCTCAGTTTCTTTCTGATATTAATCAAAACATAGGTTTGTTCAGTATATTCTGTCTTCGTGGTAGTGTAAAAAAACGACTTAATCTATACCAAAGGGGCCCACTGATTCGGAGTTGGTATATGCAACATTGTTTTCATTAGAAACTTACATTATTTGTATTGGTACTAGGATTCTCGTCTGTGATTAGTTCGTGAGTTGATTGATTTGATTCACTAGTATCATTCTGTGGTGTTAAATAAGATCTAAACAAAGGAAATTCTATTGAAAATCGTTTCACTGGCTTGTCTCTCAACTGATATTCTGTTGGTTTCCTAATAGGAAGATTATTTCCTAAGGATTCTTGCTGAATTGTTTCCTCTCGAGCATTTTTCCTGGCATTTTTCTCCACATTATCACAACGTTTGATTGCGAATTGTTTATTCGGATCACCAAAACGGTAGGCAGCCATTTTGATTGCTGGATACAACCAAGTCAGTACCACACGACATTGAAGAAATATATCATTGACAAATGTTTGTAAAACGATTGCATCTTTAAAACGCACCTATTGTAAACAAAGTCAATTCGTTTTTCGCCGAGATCAATATATGTTACACTACTTGATTATCTAGTTCACACAAAATCAATTGAAAATTAGTAACTAAAAGATCAAGTGATAGAAACAATTGATCATTTGGCAACAGAAGATTGTGGCCACTAAATGAACAGAACATCTCGAGATTGTTTAAGACAAAACGCGAACTAACAGATCTTGATGGATTTTTTTCAAATCTCTCAACCGTTCGATGTTACATTTGAAGATATTCAATGATCGATGCGTATCCGGAATGTTAAACATACCCGATTGTGGATAATGAATTCTCGCTGAGCGTATGTCTAAGAACGTGTTCTGTGTACGTTTACACAACTTTTTCATTCGTAAAACAAATTCTTCAAACTCTCGATCTAGACTATAATAAAGTGCACACACACGTGGTACACAGTAATGATCGAAACGTGTCAATGTGGTTGTTTGTACACGTTTTAATGAAGAGGTTTGAAATGCATTGATCGCAAAATAGGTTAATTCCGAAGTGTATTCAATGAAGCTATTGATTAATTGAGCGAGTAGTAGACGGACAGTTTTGGGAGCTGATTTCTTCTTTAATTTCTCTTCGGATTCAAACATAAGTAGAAAAAAGAGTTTGTCAAATTAGAGATATAATTAAGCGCATTTATTCTCAATTGTTCGAGCAAATTTTAATGAAAATTAAGTTGACGAAGAGTGCATCTGCAGTTGACAATGTGGTTAATTGGACTTCAACGCTACGAAATCCTTCTTAGCAAGAAAAGAACTTATGTAGAATAAAAAATGTTCTCATTAGTTGTGGTTGCTAATCGCATCGAGGGTATTTATTTGTGGCGAAGCTATTGTTTGAACAGGAACGCGAACTGTGAAACAAGTGTTCCATTTGCACTTGAAGTATAAAAACAGAAAAATATAATTCAATTATCTGTTACATTTCAACAACGTAACCGAACAATTCAACGTTTATCTTTCGCAAAAAAAACACACACACATTGTTTGTCCATATGGACAAAAACCAGTTTTGTCATTAGCCCATAATGTGTTATTTTCTCCTTAGGCAAACAGTGTGCAAATCGGTAATTTTCTTTTCTTCTCTTTCTTTACTAATAATCATCACAAATCGTCTGTATTGCCTCGAAACATTGTCGATCACTAGACATTCAAATGCTACGCTAAGAGCGAATGAAAAGAAAAAAAAAGTACATCAAGATATACAAATATTTTTTACACGTCGTTATTTTATTTCTTTATTTTTCACGTGCATTGCCACGATATTTGCTATTCGAAGATTGTTTTTTGCATCATGAACTTTCAATATCTTCTCCTTGTTATCATCTTACATTCCTCATTATCCATTCCTTTGACATTCATTGATCTATCACATACGATTCACCCTTCGATCCCGTTCTTTCCCAGTCAAGTACGTTTTAATTTCACACAACGCATTGCCCAATGGATGAATGAAGATAATAAAATTTTCTACGCAGTCAATGCATTTACCACAAGTGAACACATGGGTACTCATATTGATGCTCCCTATCATTTTTCTCCATCTGGTTGGAAAGTCGATGAGATTCCACTTTCTCGCTTAATATCTGTACATGCTCGTATCATTGATGTTTCCAAACGCTGTAGTCAAAATAAAAACTACCTTATCACAATTGACGATGTAAAAAGAAGTGACTTGTCTGTACCTGAAGTCGATGCCGAAACTGGCGAACGATTTTTATTTGTTTTGATCTTCTATACCGGATGGACAAAATATTGGCCCGATCAAACAGCGTATGCTGGTAACAATTCGGATGTTCAATTTCCTGGTTTAAGTGAACAATTAGCTATCTATTTGGTTAATACATATGGAGATAATTTTGTCGGCGTTGGAATTGATACTCTTTCGAGTAAGAAGACAATCAGTTGAACATGAGCTTATTTTCGAATTGTTTAGCTGATTACGGCCAATCAAAAACATACCCAGTTCATCAAATACTATCGCGACATAACAAATATGGATTGGAAAATCTGGCTTTAACCGAGAACTTGTTAAATAGTGTACAGAAGAATTTTTTTACTTTAGATATGCATCCGATGAAGATTGGAAATGGAACAGGTGCGCCTTGCCGAGTCGTTGCACGATTGAATGCTTCCAGACAAAACACAAATTGGTTTGGCTTGTTGGTTTTTTTCATTTTAACTTTTCTCCTTGGTTTTGTTATTAAAATAGTCTATGATTGCAAATGCACCCAAAATAAAGAATACTGACGAGTCTAGAGGGAAATTCTTCATTATATTTTATTCATATGTTCCTGTTTTGAATCACTTTAATCATTAGTTCCGTTGCAGTTTAAGCAATTTCTTGAGGACTTTCTTTTCTAGCCGAAAGCAACCATCTTTACCGAGTTTATGCATCGAAATATTCTCTTATTATCATTTCAATCATATCACTGAGAAGAAAAACGCAAACACATACGAAATGTACTGACAGAAAAAAATAGAATATTAAACACAAGATGTGTCGACAGTGGGTTCTGATGACCTTTTCTTTTTTGAATACTTAATTCTTGTTTGTCGCGATGACTGAGTTGTGCCTGAATGATCGTCAGTAATTTCTCCGCCATTCCGTATCGTTGAATGTCTTGTTGACGAATTCAGCCGATGGTGGGAATACTTTTTATAATCATCGATCTTCTGACAATGCCAACAATTGAATAAGACTCTCATACATTCATGACGCAATTGATTATTCATTATTCCGTATACTAATGGTGATGCACAAATTGAGATACAATAAAGTAATGTTAATAGAACGTAAATATCTGGATGTAATTGACCACGTTTATCGAATGCGCGAACGAAACCATATGGATGATATCCGAGAAAGAACAATGTAAATAATATTGCGAACATCTTGGTAATGCGTATTTCACGTCGTAGTGAATGCGATGTGGAGACTGTATTGGTATTCGTTCGAACAGTGGTGTTCGTTGCACTTAGAACATGTACGAATATTCCAACGAAACAAATGATTATGATGACATTTGGTAATAATATGAGAACGCTTATGTTAAGATAGATTTGAATTTTATTTCGTGAGGAACAACGTAGTGCTCGATCAGAGTACGCGATCGATTTCGTTAGGAATGATGGTATACAACAAAGTATCGGTAAGACTCGAGTAATGACAAGTGATACGATAATATAAGCCTTGACGGACATTCGACGGAGGAGATTTGGATAGACAACGACCATTAAGCGATGAATGGCAATGAGACAATGATGCCAAAGAAGGCAACCCATACAAATTGTTGAACAGTAAACAACTAATTTACAGATTAAAGGTCCACCAACCCAGTGTCGATTAGCGTAGGATAGTCCGACAAACAATTGATTGAAGCCAATGTTGAGTAGATCATTGAATTGTAACTAAACGAAAGAAAAAACAACCATGATAGCTGCATGACTTTTGAATAGGAAAGAGAAAGATATTTGTTGTGTAGTATAATTTTTCGTTGCTGTCGAATCTTACCGAAACGATAAATATATTGATAATGTTCGATCGAAGTTTTCTTACGGAGAGTATCGTTGTTATAAGAATAAGATTTCCAATTAGACCGAAGAAAATAAACACAATAGCAACAATGGCACCGATGAATGTGGCTTGTCTTGTTGGAATAAGTAGATGATGGGTGAGATTCGTGGGCGAAGGAGTAAACGTTGCTTCCGTTGACCAATTATGTGGCGTAACTAAGATTACCTCATTCATGGTTCGATAATGATCAAGAATAGAACAGGTAATTTAGTTTTTCGAATGTCGTCTAGAATATTTAATAAGAAATCAAAATATAACAGCGACATGGGATAGATAGTTGAAATGAAGTTAACGCGGCGATCGCCATATGGACGTATTTATCGGCAAACATAAGAGCTTACGCGAGAAGTAAGGAGAAAAATATTTTCTTCATCACAGCACATTTTTATTTCCCTCGAGTCATCTTCTCTTCTCTCTCTGACTAGTTACATTCATGTCTCTTGGTTCAAGTTCGTCAGATACCACTGCATCCTCTCTTTCTCTCTCTCTCTCTCTCTCTCCATGTAGGCGGAACTCGCCGATGTGATGAAATCAACGTTCCAACTCAACTGATGGAAAATCATACAAATTAATAGCGATCGACAATATTTTTAGTTGAAGAAATCTGCAAGGAAAAACAAGTTTATGTCAACATTGCATTTCCGAAACATTCAATAAATACATAATAGCTACGCGTTTCTTCGTCTTTTTTTATTTACTCATTGAGTACTCTGCCTCAACATGCTTCTAATCCGATGGCAATTCCAGATAAAAAGGCTGCTCCTTCGAAGTCGGTTAATATGTGTCAGAACTGAATATTCAATGATTGCTTGCTTTTCCTAAAACCCAAAGACTCCATGTATAGTGTGACGAAAACCTATATATTGACTTGCGATTATTATTAGGTTTATGTGCATCAGCTGAGGTATGATTAATTTTTTCTAATGTATATCATGACAAACAATAGGAGAAAAGAATGCTAAAACTAAGCAGATGGATGAAATTTTGCCAATAGTGACATGTCGGGTTGAAGTGTAATAAAAGAAACGTTACTTAAATACCTTAGAGAGCAACCTTGTCATGAAAACATGTCTATTGATAAAAAAAACTTACCTTAGACGATTCAATTTAGATGAAGGGAAAAGCCTATTGGTTACAGTTACTGCTTTTATAGATTTACTCAAAACATGTATAAACGAAGGAAAGAAGTTCAATAATTTTTGTTATCCAATGAAGAAAAAAACTGAGTGTTGAAAGCGGTTTTTTCTTCGAGTTTGTTATTGTTTCTTTTTTTTCTCATGACATATTCTCTGTCGGTTCTCATCTCTTCCTCTTCTATAGTTATATATATATCTGAGTCCGATGGATTGTAAATGAAGGATAGAGACACTGCTGACTTTTCCATACGCTTTTTTCTCCTCTTTAGAAAAATCCAAATCGGAATGCTTACCTCTTTCTTCTACCGTCTCGATTCCTCTTTAGTATTCTTTCCAATGAATCGAACCTAAAGACTGCTGATCATTCTCTAGTCACTTCTCTCTCACAGTGGAGCTAATCAACTAATTTAACACAGAATATTTTTGTACGTCTACTGTAGTTCACACCTCCTCAAACAAATATTTTCTTTTCTTACTACCAATACGAGATATTTATTACTCTTATCCTCGATCTCACGTTCCTATTCGACATGAATTATGAATGTCAATGACACTGTCTACATACATATATATCTATATATATGAATATTATCAGAGATCTATCGATTCCTTTTTTGTCTAGTTGTCATTAGTATTGCTATTATTGTTATTATATCCTTGTAACGAATAAATAATGATCAAGTCAACGAGCGATTGTCAAAGAACGAAAAAATAGGACTTTTTGCTTGAATGCCTAGTGCACTTATCCTTCTTAACAATCATGATTTGTGATTTAAAGACAAGATTGGAGAGATCAATAAGCATATCGTAATGATAAAAATTTCTGATTCTGATTTTGCGTCTGACGACGAATCTGTTGTTTAGATAAGAATTTCTTCGATGATGGTGATGAGCGACGCGAAATTCTTTCTGCATCGTTTTATCGAATCAAGAATTAGTGTTTTTCTTTTCGACATACGCAAATGCAAATGGATTTCAACGATAATTAGTCTTATCGATCGATAGTTAACTCTGCAATTGGATTATCGGTCGATAATGTTCTTAAATATGAAAGACATCATTCGATTAATTCTCTAACAAACAAAATCATGTGCCGGTCCCATGTTTCATCTCACTTAACTTAATTGTTGAGATATATCCCTACGAGGACTTGAAAAAGAAGTCATCACTGCATTCAATAACACTTATACTAATCGATTGCGAGTATAGGAAGGTTACAAAGCGATCTCGAACGAGAGTTTCTTCATGTGTGCGACGACGGCGACTTGCGAAAAATGAAACGCTCGGTTCAGACTGGCTTGTAGACGCCGGTTGATTCAATACCTGTTTGGTTGCGAAAGAAAGACAGAAGAAAGTTCGAGACGAAGGAAAAATTAGATAGTCAAAAAACCGGATGTCAATAAAGCAAAATAATCAGTAAATGTCTTAGGTCGGACGAAGACAACGAGGTACTTAGCTCTATTACATTGAGAAAAACTAGAAAGAGGAGATAGACGAAGCTTAGATGCATATATTCATATATATATATATATCTCCGGAGAGAAGAAAGAGAAAAAATGAGAGAAATGCTCAGAGTATATGTCAGTCTCGTTTGTTTCGATTGGCAATTTTTTCTAAATAGTTGTAAGTTTGTGAAAAAAGCAGATCAATTAGTGTGTCATTTTATTACCCTGAAATATAAGTCGATTCACTTGGAGTTTTTTCCCTTCTGATACAATATTTTATTATGGCCTGAGGTCACCGATTTGAATAATGATCAAATAACGTTCTACCGCTGCTGAATAGAATTCAATCAGCTCGGAAATCTGAAATCGAAAATCACGCTCGATTGACATTACAAAGTCTCGTTTTGATCCATCTTGATGAGAAACTCAAGCGGTGGGAAGCGTTTGCCATTCGAGATTAATTACGACGCCATCCATCGTCTGCTAGAGTTGTATCTCTAGTTCATAGCTTTTGTTATTAACATACTCAAACAAAAAGGTTTCGTATAATTAGTTCTATTTTAGCTTATCGAGCTTTCGTCGAGTATCATTTGTTTAATGAAAGAATCTGATTTCCGTTTGGATAAAATTAGAGGGAAATAACACATCAAGGTTCCAAGATTACGACAATATTATAAAATATTACTAATGTCAACAGCAAGCAGACAGTTTGTCTTGTTAATAAAAGGTCAAGATTTAGTCTTCACTATGTAATGTTGACGACAATAATATTATTATCTGAGATTAAAGCAGGAACTTTTTTTTGTATATATCTACGAAGAAAAACAGCTCGTACTTTGATAAGACATAGATGTTTGTTATTTATCTGTTAAGAAAATATAAGTCGAGATATGCTTCTTGTCACAATCGGCGAGAGAAATTGTCAGGAAGTGCACCGCGAGTAAACGTTGCCACTAGTACTTAGTACTGTTGATCGCACAAGGAATTTCTCACGAGAATACTCCTTGTTTAGCCAATTTGGAATAATATAACTACCTCAGAGATTTATGTTCGTGGAAACGTAAATATTTTGAGTTGCTTAACTTGTGTTGCACTAATGTGTTGTTTCTCGTTTATTTCATCGAACTATACATCTAATTTAGTTAGATATTCATACATCTTGAGATAATGCTTTCGATATGTTTATATTATGCGTATGAGTGATAATAAGATATGCAATATCGAAGTAGGTATTCGATGTTCTACTGGTGTATGAACGAGTTGTTTGCGAATGTTTTATTTAATCATATGGAATTTATTCTACAATCTATGAATGTGTGGCTTTTTTTCTCTTTTCAAATTCTATCTGACATCCGTTGTCAATCAAATCGCTAATCCTACACTAACAGAAACACATGAATTAGAGTATAGTACAAAGGCGACTTCGTTTTCTTAGTTTATCATCGTCTTTGGTATTGTCTGGAATATTAGGTCTATTCATATGACATTGGTTTTGTTTGCATAAGCTTTGTAGTTCACTTTGTAACGAAACATACTCCGTAACTGGAACGGTTGAACCTGTACGTTGACGAAGCTCGTCGTTTAAACTAAAATACATCGATGCTGGTTCCATGGATAAGATTTCTGCAAGGTGAATGAGTGCAGAGCCATTGAGACGTTTTACTAAAGGTTTTAATGTATCAAAGTTGCCTCTGGTCGTATTGCACCATTCATTGACATCATCCGAAGACCAGTCGAGTACTGGACATGACATATAATGGTAGGATTGATTTGGAATTTGACTCGAATGATCGAGACTCAGTTGATCATTGGTTTGATTTAGTACAGGTGAATTGGAGTCGCTGGTTTGATGTAAAAGTCGTCGAATTTCTTTGAGAATTGAATGCGTATCAATAATTATCAGTGGTTCAAGCCAGCTCCCTTCGAGATCGCATTGTTGTTCGATTTGAATTGTTAATATAGGAATCGAATAGGGTTGAAAGGAAATATATTGGAAAACAAAATGTGCTAAATTGTCAATTTTCATTCTTGTACTTGCACAAAACAGACAGAGTATCGATTGGTCAATCGAATTAATCAACGTATCAAGTGATTGGCAGGTGGTTGTAAGAACCAATTCGAATGAATATTGGAATTCCGTCTGAAGACGATCACGAAATGTGACACAAACGTCATGATAGGATTCATCGGAATAAATGATGCATATCGTAGTGTTCGTTGTTAATGATAGACCATGATTGGATATCGTTCGATCTAGAATAGAGAAGGGAAGAGATTTCGAAGTCCAAATCACTAGTAAAACAATTCGATTACTTAAACTTTGATTGCCTGAGTCTATTAATGACAGAATTGCTTGAGAAGCAATGTAGGTACTCGATGTGGATGTATTTAAATTTGTCGTTAACCACCGACATAGATCCAGGCGTTTTTGTAGAACATCGTGAATATCTGTCGATGTACTGAATGAAAATGTCCATAGTAGTTCGATCATAATTTCGATTAAATTCAATGAATCATCATCATCTTGTACTATAGAGAGAATTGTGTCGATAATCAGAGAAATCAGATTGACTTTTTTCGTATAAGTTATTAATTCATCAACAATCATGGTAAATGAAAGAAAATGTGTACGTAATAAACTAAACCAATCCAAGGCATTCAGATAAATTTGATCTCGTGAGGATGATGTAGTCGAATCATATGATGTGTCATTATGACTATTGCTTAATAATTGAAGAATTTTAATAGTTCGTTGTGCTAACAAATGTATCAAGCGTTTAAAAAAGGACGATTGATAGAAATCACGTTGAGTTAATAATAACGATAATGGATACCAAAGTTTGTGTGGCGGACGTTTAATCGTTCGTAAAATATGTTGAATATATCCCAAACGACGTAAATGTCGTTTACCATTGACTGTTAATGACAATGTCACTAAGAGGGAAATAATATCATCAATAACGCCTGACGTTGAACATAAAATTTCGAAATTTGGAACGAAGAAAGCACAAAGATTGGCATCGACAATTGTCTCAGGATATGTCGATGCGAGACGATCGATGAGGCGAATAAGTCGAATGATTAATGGCGATAGATCTTCGGCTGGATTCTGAGGAAGTTCACACCAAATATGAAGAATATTTTGTATTGGTGGTATTAGAGTCAATGTCGAGGTTGTAATTGAGAGAGTGCAATAGTCTAAGCAAGTAAATAGGAGAAAAATCGATCGAATTGGAATCTTTTCATTTAATGATGTATAGCGTAAGAAATCCACGGATAATTGAATAAATATTGGAAATTTTAAACAATCAAGAAGACATGTTGTTAAATGATCCTTTACGATAGCATTCGATGATAATATGGGATGATTAAATAGAATTACTAATGAATTCACACATCGGTAAAGAACATCGAGAATATCAGTTTGATTTACTTGATCATCGGATGTTGTTTGTAGTTGAATATCATCTGGAGACACTTGATCTTCATTTTCCTTCGAATCACAAATAGAAAGAAGCTTTTCAGAGAGATCTTCATCACTCTTTTCGTTCACGTAATCAATCTATTTTTATTCTTTCAATCCTTTTTGTACAACAACAGAATACACTTTCGTTTTCAATTGATACCTCAACATTACTTTGCTTTTTAACTGATTTCTTACAAAGTACTTAACATTAAAGAAATGCACTGGATTTTCTCTCTGTCTGTTAGTTCTTCACTGCTGTTACTTACCGTTGACTGACTTACAGCTGAGCCATGTTGTTCATTGCTTTCATTTGTAATCAGGTGATATATCACTTGACACATTGTCTTTAAAAAGCTTTTCTCGATAAACAAATGTGTTAAGACACGTTGAAATATTTCTTGTTTTTCATGGTCGTTAAGTAAATGTTCTTGTTGACTTAACCATTCCGATAATAATTTAAATAATTGGTGCATGTAGAACAATGCTCGATGTTCTTCACCATTGATCATATAATTGACCAGCCATGATTGTAATAAACGTTCGGACCATTGTCGGATAACGAGAAACAATTGATGGTTAACTATATCGATGTTTAATTCTTCGATAGGCATGCAGGAGATCGATTGCCCGATGAGGGAAAGTGATGGAAGCAGATACTGAGGTGGGCATGCGTGAAAAAGCGCGAGAATTTCGTCCAGATGTTCGGTTGGTGACAATGATGACGTGCATAACTGTCGAATTTCATTCATTGTGGTCCGTCTCTATCGATGTTTTCTTTTCAAATAAATGAATAAACAATTTTGTGAAAAAACAAACGCCACGGAAGAAAAAAGTGGAGAATCAAATCAAAATTCTTTGCCTTTTTCGTCTCGATAAGTAAAAAAAAGGAATCGGAATTGGACACGCAGACAGTTTATTCCAATTGTCGTTTACTTTCGCTGTTTAATAATGCAAGAAGTGAGTTATGTGCAGATGAGTATAGAAATCAAATACATATTCTCGAGTCTATCATTATACTCAAGTATTTACTAAGTGTTATATGTCTTGATATCTATTAACGAGACTGATGAAACAAAAAAAAGCAATTCTTTTCAAGATTGAAAGATTTTTATTGCATATATTAACAAGTGACAAGTTGAAGTTATACACGCAATTATTGACAAAAGAAATACCATTTCGCCGTGGTCAACACCCTCAAGCAAAGTATTACTTTCGATGAAATCAAGTCTGAATTGACTCACGGTGAGCACACAACCGGTCATTACCACTATGAAAGACATCTGGATACTATGTCATTGCCTTCTTTTTCAAGTCTTTGCTCGTGAAACTTTTCCCCTACTGTTCATAATTGCATCGATAAATCTTCCTGCTGTGTGCACCACCCGGCTAAGTCAGAAGGTTACTACCCATTTGTTTTCTTTTATCCGGTCGACATTTATTGATTTAATAATAATAGCTTTATTATTCTACTACTCTCCCATGTTCTATTGGATATCATTCACATATGTATTTCGAAAACGCACACATACATATTGATATATATATATATACACACACGCACGAGCACACACGTATAAGAAAAGGTATAAGACAACAACAATAGCAACAACAAGAAGAGTGTCACCGGGTTGAACATGTAACAAAAGAAAAACAAGAAGCAAAAGGAGAAATATGACGATAAGGGATATTCTGTTTTTGTTATTCGCTGCATAGATCGATGTTGAAGTTAGTACGGTACATATGTTGCTGAACCACAATTTTGTTCAAGAAAGAGTTCTAATTGTTCATGAATAAGTGCCGATGGGTTGGAATTCCATTCATAGATATTGGATGTGTGATATAATTTGGCAATCTTTTCACGTGCTTTCATTGATGATGATGATTGATGATTGAACGGATCATCATTTACAAGGATAAGAAAGATCTTTATCGACGAACACGTCGAGAGAATTTTCATGTAATCATGGATGATATGATACGGTTTACGTAAAATGATAATTGTTACACAAGAATTTTCAATTAGCCAATCTAATTCGCCTAGCATGCGATCGCGATGTATAAAATAGAAGCTAAAGCGCTTGCCATATATATCTTCGAGGATTTCGCCTATGTTTCCGTGGACTAATTCGCTATCATTGATTGAGTATAAGACGAGAGCGTCGAGTTTGATTTGCAAACAGGAACGCGTAGGCTGTAGAGTGGACGCAGCTTGTTTGGATCCGGAAGAATTCGTTCGTTTTAACATGGGAACCATCGATCGAATTGTAGTGGATGTGGAGACCGTTGACGAATGAGAGACAGGTCGATTGGATAACAAACGTTGTTGTTGTTGTTGTTGTTGTGTTTGGCGAGGTGGAGGAAGTGGTGGTACAGCCGGTTGCGGGCGAATAACAGATGATAATTCTGTTTGAGAAACTGTTAAAGGTATAGAAGCATAATCATCTTCTTCATCATTATCCGAATAGGATATAGACACATCGTTTTCTTGTTGTTTATATGCTGTGATTGAACTCAAGCCTAAAGAAATATGCGATAATGTTTTCGTTTTTTTCCCGCAAAAGCGAAACCTTACTTTTTTGTCTAGTTGAATGAAGTAGTTTTTGTATTGCTGTTGTTGATGACGATGACGATATTTGCGGTGGCGTTGTTGATGTAGATGACTGTAATGTTTTCTGGTAATGATTGGATGTTTTCTTCAAATCACCATTCGATAGAAGTTTCCTTTCGGCAGGCGACGGATGTTTCGAACGTTTTTTCCGTTGACAAAGACAAAATAGAACACATAGTATAACGACACAAACAATAATTAATATAAATATACTAATACCAATTAAAATATAAATACGATACTTCTCATGAAATACTAATTGTAAAATTCGTTTCGAATTTGGAGTATCATCATACAATGATTGTTCTTCTTCAGATTGTAAATGCTGGTTATTGATATTCAAGCTTTTTTGACAAGATTCACTGTTCGAATGTTGACAGCAATCATTGGCTGTCAATGGCGTTTCAATGTTAAAACTCGATGCTAAAATTGACCGATTACAAGCGAAACCTTTGCCGTAGGTTAACGATTTTAAACGTATATTTGACTGGAATTCGCCGTTGTTATCGTAAAACTTCGGTATCCATGGATTATTATGAAGCAAAAGATAACGAAGATTGAATAAGGTTGAGAATGTTCGCGAATGAATGGTTTGTAACTGATTCGAAGATAGATCCAGGTGTTCCATCTTGTTTAAAGTGGAAAATTCTTCATTGGATAACTGTTCAAGACGATTGTTTGATAAAAGTAAATATTGTAGTTTCGTCAAGTGTGTTAAATTCTTTTCCAAAGACTTGATTTGATTGTGATTCAAATTCAGATGTGTCGTCGACAGCGGAATACTCGATGGAATTTTACTTAAATACCGATTTGAGCAATTTACATAGTTCTTCGTTGAATCGAATGAATGTTTACATGTGCATTCCATGGGACATTGATAATAACATTCACAGTTATTCATTTCGAATGGTGACATCAACGATGAACAGCAAGAGCAAGTCGATGGACAGGATTTTACATAGGAACAAAAACTATTTGAAGCATTCAGATCGAATAATGAGCGATGAATTGTCGATTCAATCATATCTTGACATGTTATATTAGATAAATGTAAAAGTTTGATACGAGCTTGTTTAACAAGGTTTTGTGAAAGTATTGAAACAGTTGGTGGAGCATTTTCGAGAAACAATTGTCGACGACGACGTTTGTGCAGATAATTCGCGGGATTTCGTGTTTGAGAGAAGATATCTGGCGGTATGTATTGCGAAGGATAAAGCGCAGGTGAGAATTGTTGTGAAGTTGGTTGAAATGCTGGAGGTACTAAAGAAAAAACCGAATTTTCCACGCTCGATGGATTCTTGATACATCCTCTCATAGTAAACATATTTCTCACGCAATATTGATGCCTAATGAAGTTATAATTGCTTTTCTAGTCTTACGAGATCGATAACTATCAATAAATGATTGTTTCATTGTTTATATTCTTCCGATTACTTTTCTTGTTTATCGATGTAATATTTTTCTTTGTCATCCTGGATGTAGCTTAACCTTTGTGTTTTCGCAGTCGTCTCTCTGACAGATCGGAGTGATGTAATTGAAAGTTAAAAGTTAATAGAGAACAGTAATTTATCAGTATATCAATTAACTTCCTCTGAGCATCACACACACACAAGGATGGAGGATAATTAGAGCAAAGACAAATGACAGAGAACAATCGATTTCGCTAGTCGACTGAAGTTAATCATGCAATCTATATGCAAGGCATGTTGTCATTGATAGGTCACAAAGAAAATTAGAACAGCTGGTCTGATCAAAAAAGAAAATCTTCGACTTTTTCCGAATGAAGAAAAACATTTACTTTTCATTAGATCAAACAATAATAGATAATTCGACTTACATTGAAACGTTGTTGGTTGAGATGTTGGAATATCGCTTTGTAATAGAGGAGAGATATTCTCATATAGAACACAATCGCATTCCAATGGATTATTGTTGATATTCAATTCAATCAATGGGCCACGTCGTTTAATTCCTGTTAATGGTAATTGTAGAGTCTTTAGTTGATTGGAAGATAAATCAAGTGAAATGATATATTTATCTTGTGTTGACGCTGATGAAAAGATATCGAAGTCGATTTGATTGATATTATTCAGCGACATATCCACGTATAATACAGGTAGATGATGATCATAACTAGCTATTGTATGCGCATCATATGGGACGGGAAGACGAGGTAATGAATTCAAATTGTTTGATGAAATATTTAAATAACGAAGTTTTTGTAATGGGAGAAATAAATCATCGAATGGTAATGAAGGGTATGAAGCTGTTAAATCAAGTATTTCTAAATACGGTATACGTGTGAATGTGTCCTGTTGAATATCTAATGGTGAATTATAACTTAAATTCAATGTATTTAATGAATACAACGATTTGAATGATGTGTAATCCAACGTTTTAATCAGATTGTTTGATAAGTCTAAATAGCGTAGCGTTGATGGAAATTTCGTTTTTAGTATGCTGATTTGGTTGTTCGAGAGAATCAACGTGACTAAGTCGGGTATTTCAATTTGAGAGAATAATCTATTCACTTGCAGATCATCTAATTGTGTATGGCAGAGATCAAGGTAAACTAAATTTGGATATGAACCAAGCAAATCGAAATGTGTTGTGTGGGTGATGGTCAAATGTATGAGCGAAGAAAGTGAGTTCAATAGAAATTGTTTTAAAGAAAATTTCACATAATAAAACGCTAGAAATGTCGTTGTACTTGTTAAATTCAGTGAATTAATATTGAATGTCGTATTATAGAAAATTAATGTTTCCGGTTTGGCTTGGAGAATGAACTGGTTCGTTTCGATAATTGTATCGAGAAAACGTAAGGAGAGAAGATTTAATTGACATTGATGAAGCGACGTGTTTGATTGTAAACGATAGAATGTTACACGAGATTGATTTAACGAAGAACAAAATTGTTCGAAATTGACGAGATTTTGCATGAAATCATTATTGAAATGATCAAATTCGTATTCATGTTCATTGAAAGTTTTCTTTGTTAAATGAGAGAATGATGTTCGAAACTGATGAACATTGTCCGATTCGATTTCGTCGAGTCTAACGCGAAGAATGTCTTCAGTGAGAAGTTTTGTCGCATTATCTGAACAAATATTTGTCAGTACCGGCGTCGAGAAGAACGACGAACAAAGATTGGATGACGAAAACATTGGAGGTGATGAGAGACATGTACACATGTCACATTTATATATGCGTTGATTGAGATCTTTATAATGACATGGATATATAGGACGAATCGTTGTTGGCAAAAGTGTTGAACTTATTGGTATAATGGACGAGATGAATAGAATGGTCATTAAGGTGGTAGAAAGTTGAAAATTAATAACGATATAGTCATTGTTCATTCTAAAACAGAGAAAACGACTTGTTATGTCTTCTCGCTTGCAAAGATTCACATTTGAGTCTATGTTAATCAATGATAGTTTATGTTCTATGCGAGGTTAACCTATACTTTAAGATTAACGATGTTCACATGTCAACATATATCTAAATAAATGAAACGAAAGTAGTTAATCCGTTTCCGCCCATTCAGGTTCACACTTACAATTGTCTCACACGCTCTATCTCATCTCTTACTATTCCTTTTGCCTTTTCGCATCTATTTATTTTTTTCATATTNAGAAGCTTTTCCAGAGGATGCAGGCTCGTACACAGTTTTAATTCGCAATTCGTTGGGTGAAGCACGATCATTCACACAATTGACTGTAGAAGAATTTTTCTGTCGAACACCGTAAGTGATGGCCAGACATTCACGAATACACTCATTTTTCGTTTGTAGCGAATCGGAAATGTCCGATACACCGTGCAAACCTATCTTCGTCCAACCACTTCTCGATGTAACGATCAACGAAGGACAAAAACTGAAACTACATGCCGCTATCAATGCTCATCCTGAACCAGAAGTAAAAATTCAATCCAGACTCTTATTTTAACCTTAAATCACAACTGCTCTCTCTCTCTCTTTTGTAGATTATTTGGTACTGTAATAATGTTCCTTTGAAAAGTACACGCGATGTAACGTTAACATTCGATGGCCAATTATGTACATTAATCAAAGATCGATGTGAAAAAGAAAACGATAGTGGATTCTATCGTATCACAGCTGTAAATTCCATGGGTCAAGCTGAATCGACCTGTCAAGTGAATATTCAATCGAAAGATGCACCACAGTTTCGCGAACGTTTGCAATCGGTTCGCGCCTCGCCTGTTATTCATCAAGCATTCACGAATCAAACGATGAACGAGGGTGATCGTGTTGTTTTTCAAGTACGAATAACTGGCCAACCAAAACCGCAGATCATTTGGTATAAAGATAATCAACCAATACGTAACACCCATGATCATAAAGTAAGTTGTACACAAACAATGAGCAAAATCCATGAATGTTTGCTTCGTGGGATAGATTCGCAATCAAGATGATATCTATACACTTGAGATACCGGAATTGTTTCCTGATGATGCTGGAATTTATATGGTGAAAGCAGTGAATATCGAAGGCGAAGCGAAGTGCGAGGGTCTTTTAACAATTTTGTCAGCAATGCATCCGATTTCAGTGAATACGGAACCAGCTTTCGTTCCACCAACTGGTTTTCCGCCGGAATTTCTTCAGTTATTTACTGATCGACAAGCGTCAATAAATTCATCCATGAAATTCGAAGCTCGATTAATTGGTACACAACCATTAAATGTAAACACTTGAGAAACAAATGAGATTTTCATATTGTCTCAGTCTTTTTTCCCCGTCAGGTCTATTGGTTATTCGATGGGGAGCCAATAACAAATCTAGCAAATAATCAACGTTGTCAACAACATGTGTTAGGTGACACATATTCGTTGACTATAAATGATATTCAATACGAAGATGCTGGACGATTTACATTAAATGCGGAAAACTCTTGGGGCAAAGCAACATGCACTGCGCAATTATTCATTCCACCAACTTCAATATCTGGTAAGATCAACTCTCATACAAATCTCGATCGATCAGAGAACTTCCATGTCTGCCCGTGTTTTTCTCTTTGTCTGACAAATATCACTAAGACAGTATTCATTGATTACAAAAGGAGTACACCGTCAGATAATATAATTGCTTCAAAATATTCTCATATACAATCGCTTGTGTACTCAATCAATTACTACAATTGCTTGGAAACCACATTGCACTTTATTCGTCAGCATCCAATTGGTATCGAACGCATTTATTTCCTTCACAATTATTTTATTGTTCTCCTCGGAACGTCTCTCATCACTATTTGATTTCCTTGAGAAAAGGAATAGAAGAGATAAAGAAATAGTAATATTGCATATCCATCCCTCTTGTGCTTCTTTCCTCTTCTTCTCATTCCGACTTGATCTTGATGTCGTCAACAAATGTCGTTTGTCCTCCTACGAATTTCTCTTCATCTGATAAATATAAGCCAGCGCTTTTCTTACTTTCTCTTCTGTCATTAGTTCCTAACAGAAAGATAGCAACTCATTTCTACATATCGAGCTTGATACCATGGTCGGACGTGTTAAGATCTATTCTTGTTGCTATTTCAGCGACTGAGCAAAAAAGACTATAAGCGATCGATAGGATGCAATGAAGAGAATACCAGAGAAGAAAAGAAAAGAGAGGAAAGAAGAACTTCGACGATATATATCCATCTGTAAGCTATTTGTTGTTCTCCGTAGCATCAACTCGTACAACACACCGTCCGAGATAATGATTGATTCGGAAAAAAAAAGAAAACATAACCTACAGAGACAACGAATAAGAAGATCATAGATAGTGAGAGTACAGTTCTCTTGCGAATGGTAGAAGCCAACGAGAGATTTCTAAGAGATTGTTGTACCGTCAGTTGCTTATATTGTGATATCATTAAGAGAAGTGATGATCTGTTTGTCTCATTTTCTGTTTGATGTTTATTGTGTAAATTTTCCATCTAAGGTCATCTTCTCTTCTCATCTCGCCATCACTTGTATAAGTGAGAACAGTTACACACCAAATCATTAGTTGCGAGGGTGGCATTTGCAGAGGTGCATAAAAAAACCCAAAATAGCTTCGATTACCATCTGCTTTCTTCTGTCGTCGAATCTTTTCCCTAGTTTCTTCTATTGTAGTCGCTCGTTAGATAAGATTAAACCTGTCTGGTTCTGAATGTGTCTGCATACAGCATGTGCTTGTATCTGATTGTGTGTGTGTGTGTGTCAGTACGTTTGTGGATTGTTGCTTAATACTCGCTTTCAGCACTATCGATGATGTACTCTCTTGCATATGCGGTCGTTGAGGGAAGAGAGAGAGAGGGAAGAAAAAGGAAGAATAATCTGAAGAAAATATACATTCGCCCACGAAATCTATCGTCTTCTGTATATCTATAACAAAGAAAAAGTTTGTTTTTTTTACTGAAACGACATTGAATACTGTCTCAGCGTCGCATTCATACACACATATATACATATCTATCTATCTATATTCTTATATACATCTCTAGACAAGATAAAAAATTTTCTAACTGTCTCTGTGTATCTTCGTCTGAAGGTACGGAAAGTAATAGCAACATGTTGTCCGATTTACTTGTCAAAATGTCACCTTCACCACCGTCGAATCGAAAACGACATATGGAAACGAGTCAACAACATCAGCAAGCAACATCAGCGTCGAACACGCGTTCATTCGAGCAAGAATACGAACATCGACGACATTCATCGTTTAGTTCATCGAATGGTAACAAACGTTATCGTCCATTACAATCTTCGCTCGAACGTACGCAATCGATTTCGCGTGATCAAGAATGCCGACGACGACAGTATCCAAAATCGATCGATGTCTTTATTCCTTATGACGTGCTCGAAAAAGAACGCAGTCAACAAGGAACTAAATCGACTACGATGACACGAAGTTACGAATATGAAGTCGAACATAAGCGTCGTGCATCGTCGATCGGCAGTAAGCAACAGCGTAGAAGTGATTTCGATGCTGAGGAAGAGTATTTACGTTGTTTACGTGATATTACTGATGAATATGAGAAGACTAAACGACAGAAAAAGTCACTCGAAGACCGAAAGAAGAAAACGACTGTTGATACACAAGAAGAGATCGAAACTATCGAAGAAGTTTTCCGCCATCGACCATCAAAACCTGAAGCAGTAACAACAACAACGACAACAACTGAGGAAATCATACACCGATCAGGTTATCAAATGCCACCGATACCACCGACAACAACAACCACTACAACATCATCATCAATTAATCGTGTAAATCAGTTTGAAAAACAATTTACTGATAATTTTTCTCTTCGTCCACATCACGAAGAACAAAAGACAATTTCGTACTCGACACGAAATGACGGCGGACAGCGTTTAACCGCCGCTCAGCGTTCATTTTCAGAGGAACTACTTTTTAAACGCTTAATACCGACTGCTAAACAGTTATACACGACTACACCATCCGCTACTACAAGCGAAGCTGGCTTTGCCACAAGTGAAGACGATTTAACAACAATGGAATATCGTCTCAAGCGTAAAGAACGCCTAAAACCAATACGCATTCATTCATCAACGAGCTCAATTCCTGGCGAAACAAGTATTAAATATGTTCGTACAGAACGTCAACCTGTTGAACTTCTCGTACCAAAACCTCAAGTGATTACCACGCAAGGCGAGCATTCGACAACAGTTGTAAAGGATGTTCGGCGTTCAGTAGGAAAAGTGTCGACGAATCTTCGTCAACAACATCAACGTGCAACGATCGAGGGTGAACACGAATTGCGTATCATCAAAGAGCCGATTTCAGCAGGACAAACATTACCATTCGCGTTTACAGTTCCGAAACCAGTAGAAGCCCTACCAGCTGAACATTCGTCAACATTTGTTGTTGAATCAAAGAAAGGCGGACGATTTCAAACATTAGATGTGAGCACTGCTCTGACACGCGAACATACGCTGACTGGCGAGCATGAACTTCGTGTTATATCAGAACCTATTTCAACTGGTTTGCATAATAAAGCAGTCGAATTGTTATTCCCTAAACCACCGTTGCCACCAGCGCCCAGTCAACATTCGTCAACCGTGGTTAAGCACACACGAGCACTACCATCGAGTGTAGTCATTGACAATATTCAAACAACATTGAAAGGTGAACATGAACTACGTTTGGTTGACAAACCGATACAATCAGGAGCACTTGATAGTGTTGAATTAATTGTACCAAAAAGTGTCACAGAAACTGCAGAACATACAACAACTATAGTGACAGAAACTCAACCCCAACGGCGTGTTCTGGAAATCACTGGTAGCGGAAGAAAAATGGAGAGTGAACATGAAACGAAGTTTTTCCGTGATGCTGTTCGTGTTGAAGAACAACTTGAACTTCGTCTACCTAAACCACAAATCGAACGCGCTGAACATACGACAACGATAGTTAAGCATAGCCGTGGCAAAGGACCCATTATTGAAGTAGACACCACCACTCGACGAATCGAAGGCGAACATGAAACAAAATTTGTTGAAGAATCTATTGAGGCGAAAGCCGATTCAATGCACCTGTTAATTGCTAAACCTCAAATACCAGCAGAGCACAGCACAACAATTGTCAAAGAGCAACGTGGGAAATCACAAATCTATGCGATTGACAAAACAAAGCCCATACCTGGTAAGAATTCGAGTGGAGACAATGAATCTTGTTGTTAAGATTCTGACGGTTTTGTTTTCTGTGAATAGGTGAACATGAAACGAAATATTATGAACAACCAGTTGAAGCATTCGGTGAAATGCATGTTCTATTTCCTAAACATCAACCTGTTATCGGTCCACTCGAAGGCGAACATATGTCAACCTTGGTTAAACAAGTTCATGGAAAACCAGTTGTCTATGAAGATCGTTATCGCGAAATACCTGGTGAACATATTTTAACAGTCATTGATAGTTCGACTACGAGAGTAGATCGTGGCACTGAGAGTGAAGTTGAATTCATCGTTCCGAAAGTAAAATCGAGACGAGGATTCAGCTCGAGCGACTACGATGAAGTATTTGCTTCATCAGCTGGTGAAGAAGAAAGTATTCGTCGTGAACGTTACCGTTACGATGCAGAAGAAGAAAGTGGCTGGACCAGTGCTGGTGAACATACAACAACGTATGTTAAACAAGCACGAGCCAAATTTGAACCTGTGGAACTAGTTGTGGACAAACCACGAGTCATGCCAAGTGTATCAACATTGATTGCTGATATACAAGGACCAGCACAGATTACATCGATAAGACCGACAACCGTTGTCCTTGCAGAGGATAGTTCTGTTAAACTCGATATGGAGCTGAATAGTCAACATCTTCAAGAACAATACGATGAAATGGAGTTAGTTTTAGAGAAACCACTTGTTCGAGACAGCTCAACTAAATTACTAGCCAGTGTACAACCGGGCCTGGAAATCAAATCATTTCGGCCGACAACCGGTTTGCAGCAACAAACTAAGATAATGGAAGAAAGTAGCTCATCATTGACTATGCAAATGCAACAAGCAGAAGAAGAAGAAACTCTCGAACTTCATATTCGTAAACCACATATTCAAGAAAGTTCAAGTGTTGTCATTGCTAATATCCAACCTGAATTAGGTAT